CAAGCATCACCTTACCAATGTTCTGTACTGCCCCTCAAGAGAAGGCCAGGTAGTAGAGAGGGCAGGCCGGCTTCCAGAAACACAGCATATAAAATTACCAATCGTACATAGTATCCCCCAGCTCTTTTCATTACTACCTAACCTCTCTTGAAGTTACATCTTCCACCCTTTCCGGGTTCATCTGTCCCAGAGACCCAGCTCCACACAGTAAAAAGCACAGAAACCTGGTTGACACTGGATTTCCCTGTTCCAGAAGGGAAGGTCACGCTGTATGCACAGACCTAGCATGCTGCTGAGAAGCACAGGGAGAAGCCGCTTCTGCGGAAACCTTCCATCCCCACCGGGAAAAACAGTGAGTCACAGTCACACACAGAAGGGTACAACAGTGGCATCACATTAAGTCATCTGGAATCCGTGGCAGTAGAAATATTAATTCAATGTTTTTATATCATTACTACATGGTTTTGTGTCTTTGACAGTGCCTGCTGATAATGGATGCTTACTCTAACTAAAAAGTGAACAGTATATAGGCAAATAGCAAACATTTGTATCTCAACACTAGTTCTATTATAAGGCCATTAAAATTAATTTAGCAATTCTTTAAAGCATCACAATGAGAAACTAAATACAAGACAAAGTTTCTTAAGGTCATTCCCTTGGAAACTTGATGTAAAGGTTTAGAATTATTAGACCAATCTTTAATCAAGTAGGTTAAAAAGGCATTCTTTTTACTGAGTTGGTTATTATTGAAGAACTCCAGCTAATATGATTTTCCCAAATATGCATAAGAGATTGTGTCACTCTATTCCAGTGTTAGGAGAGCTATCTCTTCGAATAAATGAAAATACACTCTTACAGCTTTAAACTCTTCCTTACACATTTTAATTTAAACAAATGTTTATAACCTTAGATTCATGAGAATTTCTTTGCAACGAATATTTGTTTAAAGTCAAAAATGGAAATACGGAATTACTGAATGATCAGCACTGATTTTTTTTTTTTTTTTTTTACCCAATACCTTTAATTCTCCATAGTTGGAGGGATAGAGGTGAAAAGTACATTCATTTTCCAAATTAAAAAAAAAAACTCAGTACATACATTCTCCCATCTAATTCCTAAGTAAGACTCCCACCCACTGGCACTGAAAACCTGTAATCCCACAAGCAAGAGCCATACCCGTGTGCATGCACTCATGTGAAAATATCACACACACTAAATTGCACTGAGGCCGTGACAACATGCAACTTAGTAATGTGCAATATCTCCACCAGAGCAAGCAGAATGGGAGCATCGGGGAAGAAGGATGTGATGCAAACATTCAGGACACGACATGCTCTAAAGGGACAAAAGTGGTTTGGGGGTAGGAGATGCATGCCACTAACTGAAAAATTCATGAAACGAAAACCCAAATGAACACACAAACGTATTCAATTTAGAAGAACACTTATTCAGATCTGAGAATCCTAACTGAGGTTCAACAATTCAACGAGACGGTGATCATCAAGTAGCCACATATTTCATAAGGCAAAGCTTCAAAAGCCAAGACACTGCCACTGCCTGGTCATGCAGTTAACTCCCAATTTCAAGTCCACTTTTAACTTATTGATGGATCATATAAAATGAGTTCAACGATTTCCACTTGACTGCAACACTGATGATGACTAATGATTGATGTTTATAAAATCTGAGATCACTGATAATTTGTAGACTGAAGTGCCCTCTGAGGACCGTATAATAACATTTTCATAAACACTTGTTTAATATTTTTCCTCTTAAAATCTTTGTCCGTGAAGAAACATATTCCATCTTGAACACAATCCTTCAGAATGAAAAATGTGACAAGAGCTCTTAAAACTAGAACTTACTATTATCTTACATATGTGAGAAGGTTCTACAGAGGCATCTCTATAAAACCTGTACATTCCAGGTCTTGCATCTGACCCAGGAAAGAAAGAGACAATAAGCACGGAGACTGCTAAAAATCGTCTGGAGTTATAATCTTTAATTCACATAACTTGATACAGCCGTGGTTACACAAATGGGCCAGACAAATTAACTAGTCTGTACTGTAGTTTTCAATTTTGAGAGCCATTAAGATTACAGTTCTGGTACTGAGGGTTTAAGCTTTTTCCTATATTAAAAACATGATAAGATATGGGGCGCCTGGGTGGCTCAGTCGGTTAAGCATCCGACTTCGGCTCAGGTCACGATCTCGCGGTCCGAGAGTTCGAGCCCCGCGTCGGGCTCTGTGCTGACAGCTCAGAGCCTGGAGCCTGTTTCAGATTCTGTGTCTACCTCTCTCTGGCCCTCCCCTGTTCATGCTCTTCTCTCCCTGTCTCAAAAATAAATAAAACATTAAAAAAATAATAAAAAAATAAAAAAAAGACATGATAAAATAAATGGATTTTGTACTAGTATGCTTTGGAACCAAGACATGGGCTACTGTTACAGTGCATACTTAGTCTGTACAATCCCAAGAAAATAAGGCAAATCTAATTTGTAAAAAGGCATTTATTTCTTATCTCTGTAGATGACCACACTCTTTCTAACCTCAAATGCCCTTGTGGGCCAAAGACCTGATTTTTTAGCCGCCAGCCTCATATGACTATTTAAACAGTCTTAACAGTACCACAAAGTTAAGTCATCTTCTGCCTCAACCAGCTCCTCCTGGAAGAAGGTATACCGGAAGGATATGTGCTTTCAATCAGCTGGAACGACATGCAAGTCACAGCTCCGCTTACCAACTCCAAGCAACGATGACATTAAAATATTAAGTTTAAAACAAAGGAGTTGGCATATTTGTATGAAAACAAAAGTGACTCAATGCCAGACAGACAGGACAGTTGACCAGCGGTTCACTCTAAGAAAGCCGAACAAGAGAAAACTCAAGAACTGTGATTTAAAAACAGAAAAGCTTTTGTGAGAATAACAGTCAGTGCTAATAAAGATTACTTCAGGAAAATGAAGTATCAGCTTTCTTGAAGTTCTTAATGGGACAAGGTAGATATTTTTCTGTAAGGCTTGGCTTAAGTTACACTGACTGAAAGGATTCTGTCAGCCTTTGATAAGGTTGATTCACTAGTTTCATCCTACTGGGAAGATTGAAGGTTATTTTTCTTTCTGGTCGAGTTATTTACACAAACTTCTTTAAGCCAGACAGATGTCACTTAAACTAACGTGAATTTATTGCTAAGAGTTTTCAGCATTTTATTTACTCAATAAAGATGATAACCAATGGTCGTGCAGGCTTAAAAGGAATGCTAAAGCCAGCAAGTGACTTCCCCGAAGATAGCTTCACCCTGAAAACTGTTACAGTAGATGATGCACTCCCAAACTTGGAATCTTTACATAGATGGCCCCATGTGGATACCCAAGAGCACCAGAGAGGATAAGGGCATTTTTAAAATTCTACCTGATGGCTAATAAAGGAAGCAAGATATTGAAGACTTTACCCAGGCCTTGCTAGTAGGAAAAAGAAAGAAAACCCAGCAAACTTTCTAGGAAGAATATATTTCAAGAACATGTGTGTTATTTGAATGTAACTAAGGTTTTTCAGAGACCAAAATGGTATCCTCAACCAGTTATTAAATAAACACAATGAAGAAATAAGCCAAGATCAGTCAGAGAGAATTATCCAGTCAAATCAAGATTTCTGTGGAAGACTAGTTCAAAGCAATGCTATTTTTTATAATAATTTTTTCATGTTTTATTTTATTTATTCTTGAGAGAGAGAGAGAGAGAGAGTGAGCGCACACAAGAGAGCAGAGGAGGGGCAGAGAGTGAAGGAGACAGGGAATCCCAAGCAGACTCCGCACTGTCAGTGCAGAGCCTGATGAAGGGCTCAAACTCAAACTGTGAGATCATGAGCTCAGCGGAGATCAAGAGTTGGATGCTTGGGGCGCCTGGGTGGCGCAGTCGGTTAAGCGTCCGACTTCAGCCAGGTCACGATCTCGCGGTCCGTGAGTTCGAGCCCCGCGTCGGGCTCTGGGCTGATGGCTCGGAGCCTGGAGCCTGTTTCCGATTCTGTGTCTCCCTCTCTCTCTGCCCCTCCCCCGTTCGTGCTCTGTCTCTCTCTGTCCCAAAAATAAATAAACGTTGAAAAAAAAAACTTTAAAAAAAAAAAATAATAAGTGGAAACATAAATGCCAACCAATGATTCACTATTCAAAATAAGTTTAAGAACACCTGGCTAACAACTTATTACAAAAAGAAACTCTAACGGATGATATGAGGATTTAATTTGGGTATAGCTATTCATACGCAGTAAAAATGTAGTAGAACTCTAACAAGTCCCAAGCAATAAGAGGAAAGGGTAGGGAAGGAGCAGAGCTAGGTTTGAGCTGCAAAAGGCCTTTCCCTACCTGAAATGACAAAGAGGAAAAAGGAGGGCAGAAGCCAGTGACTTGGAAAGAGCGTATGAAGAAAAAAAAGTTGAGGAATCATCTCATTCAAAAGCCCAGCCTGCAATACATGGACCCCAGAAGACATGGGAAGTTTCTGGCCAGAACCTGTAATGCACATCCAGCCCATGACTTAAAAATAACCAAAATCTTTGCATTTCCAGTTTCCAGGCTAACTTCACGCAAAGGGCACAGAGCCCAGCTGCAGAGGGAGAGAGGAAGAAATAGAAAGACCATTTATTCTTCTCCCGGGACAAAGCCGCAGTTCCTGAGCTCTAAGAGAAGGGGGAGGTGTATGCGTGGTACAAGAGGGGTTTCTCCCCAGCAAGCGACATGAGCTGCGGCGGGAGCAAGAGCCTGCACGGGGTGAGGGGGCTGTAGCTCACAGGGCTGACAGCAGGATACCGAAACTGAATTTTTCTTCTTATCGAAACTTGCGCTGCTCACATTATTCTCTCAAAAGGAAATTAAAAATTTTGAAAATACCAGGGTCCATCACTAGTTTTGCACTGATTATTAGAAAGGCTCAAGACTGAAAACAGGCTTCTCACAGAAAGCAGTGTCTAAAGGAAATAAGAATAGCATAAATCTTATCCCTACCTGATAGCTTCTTCCACAGACTGGCCAATAATATTAGAAGAAGGACCTGGCTGAGATAGTGGTGTCAGGCTTATCACCCACTTCACTGGCTTGTAGTACTCATCACTGGAACTTAATAGATAAAATAGTGTGGTCAGGAAAATTATCTGCAAAACAAAGGACAGTATCTCCTAAAAAATCACATTTGGAAACTACAGGAAGGAAACACAAATGGAACCAAGAAAACGCTTCACTGAGGAAGGAGAGGTAACATGCTCTTATCTACATGTACATACCAGAGATAGCACAAAATTGAGAAGGGCCGTCCCGCTGTAGAAGAGGATGGTCAGGAGGGTGGTGACGGTGGTGAAAAGCAGGCTCACGTTCCGGCTCATGACAATCCACAGAGACTCTAAGATCTGATGAAGAGGGAAAGCTGAACCATTAGAACTAATCCTGAGGAAAGAAGTTCCGACAGCTATCTACTGTGCTTTCAATACAAGAGCGTTAGTACCAGAAAGTGAAAAGACAAGAACGGAGTAGTATTTTATGGGGGGGGAAATACGTTATCATCTGAAAACACTTGACTGTTGAATAGTAAGGAAAATGGTTAAGAAAATCACAGTGAATCTAGCTCCAAATCATATCAGGTAGCCATTAAAGATATGTGTATCATAACACAGAAAAACATTTTATGACATAATTATAAATTGAAAACGGGGCATCTGGGTGGCTCAGTTGGTTAAGTTTCCAACTTTGGCTCAGGTCATGATCTCACAGTTTGTGGGTTTGAGCCCCACATTGGGCTCTGTGCTGATAGCTTGGAGCCTGGAGCCTGCTTTCAGATTCTGTGTCTCCTTCTCTCTCTCTGCCCTTCCCCCACTCATGCTCTGTTTCTCTCCCCAAAATAAACGTTAAAAAATCATAATTAAAAAAAGTAAAATGTAGGAAACAAAAATTTTATATATAGCATGATTTTAACTATGTAAAAATGATATGTGTAGAAAAAAAACCTACAGGAGAATATGCCAGAATGCAACCTGTATAGGATCATTAGTGCAGACATGAACATTCTAGTATTTGTCTTATTAGCTGCCTCCCCTCTTGCCATCTCCAACTTAGATTCACCTACAAATACAAAAGTATCACTTCGATGATTTCACTAAAATCACAATAAATAGGATAGGGTCAAGGGCAGAGCTCTACAGCTGACTATCTTTCTTCAGATAGATGATGACCCTACTGAATTCCTTTGATCCATCACCTGTAAATTCACTAGAATCAGTTATTAAAACGGTCACTAATATATGCTAAATGCTACTATAATACACGTTAAACACTACTAGAAGAAGATGTACAATATCTGTGGCACACCTAGATGTTTTCATTTCCTATCTTCTCAGGAACTTAAATTCCCTCTTGACAATATCTGTCCCGTGAGAGAAGCAGTGCAGAGGATACCAACTTCATTTTAAAGATAGACAAACTGAAGCTCAGAGATGTTTTAAAACTTGCCCAAGGGCCTTGGAGCTAATAATTGGAACTAGAGCTGGGACCAGAATTCTAACGTCTGGTTTTATTTTGGTGTGCCCTTTCCAAAACAGCAGCTCTGTTTTTTGTCATATGTACAAGTTACACCATCTGTTCTATGAAAGGCCTATCCATTCCTTTCCTGTCTCAAATGTATCATTTATAAAGGCGTATTTTGTTGTCCCCGGCATTTCTTGCAAACCTCAGCTCAGTCTTCACAGGAGAGCCTTTGCAGGCTGGTTTCATTTACAATAACTCCTTACATAATGTCTTCAAAATGCCTTGCAATGCCTACAAAAATATGCATGACTGACCATTTGACCTTGTGGGACAAAGAATGGATGAATAATACCACTGATTCCAAGAAACAAACCAACAATACCCTTATTTGTGATTTTTACATGCATTCTTTTGGGGGTTTCTGGCATTTTGGAATTTTTATTAAAAAAGTTTTTAAATAGTTTCTGGGTCACCCTGGTAGGAAATACTCTGTGACAATTCTTAAGAAATTAACTGAAGACATTAATTGTAGACTGGTAGTCTCCAACAACAATCAAGTAACATTTCTGTGTACCCAAGGGGATTAGGAAGAAAGGTTCAGACCATGAGAGCTATCGGATATTACAAGAATATAGGCAGAAATAAAAAATCCGATCAAGGGTTGACTTCGACGCATTAAGATTTTTTTCTGATGAGACAGGTAGTGACGTTAAAGAATGTGATTTTTTTTTATACTTTATAAGAAAATGTGTTGATATTTAGAGGATGTACAGAAAATCAGTGAACCAATAGTCTAAATGACCAGTGCATATTACAAAAGCATATAAGAGTAAAAGACCCATTTCTATTCAAGACAGATCAATGGACTTCCATGTAAGGCAGTACAAAAAAAGTTTATATTGATATGGTTTCAAATTCCACACTGCAATTAACATTTAAAAAGTACCATTTGTTGAGTTTTGGTGTAGTATCAAAGAATAGCCACAATTATCTGAAAAGGCTATTAAAAGACTCCCCTCTTTTCCAACTACGTATCTGTAGGAGGCTGGATTTTCCTCAGATACTTCGATCAAAACAATGTATTCCAATAGACTGAATGCAGAAGCAGGTATGAGAATCCAGACATTAAAGAGATTTGCAAAAAAGTAAAAGAAAGTCACTCTTCTCACTGAGTCATTTTTTGTTTTGCAAAATGGTTATTTTGCAGATGCAAAAAATGTGTTAATATATAATGTTATTTTTTGTGAACTGATAAATATTTTAAAGTTCTCAGGTTTAACTGCTAATACAATAATAATCCATAGAACCCACATGAACAAACAAAAACTCTGGAATCCTCAGACCAAGAAGTTTGACAACCACTGGACTAGAGAAAACAGATTATCAAACACATAAACTCTTAGAACTGAAGGACATGAATTTCTAGATTTAACTCCACACTGTGATAGCTGTATTAGGTGAGTGGGAAGAAGGGGAAGTGTGAGTGCAGGGATTGGGGGAGGAACCGAAAGAGCTGTAAGAAAACCCCACAGGTGATAGAAGAGAGCACTGAGGGACTTCAAAGTCACATCTTTATCTTCATCTTCCAAATTAGGAAACCAAAAGATAATACCTAAAATTACAAAACCAAGAAAGACCAGTATAAATATTATTTTGGAAATTTAGAGATAAATACCAGAGAAAGCTAAAAGAATTGACAGCTGTTTCCAGAAAACGAGACTGAAGTGGAGAAGCACAAAGCAGGGCACTGTCATTTTTTTACTGAAAATCTTAAACTATTATTGACTCTCTGCTACTACGGTCATCTATTAATAGTTTGATAAAAATTAAATTAAAAAAAAAATCTAGCATTGCGGGACACCTGGATGGCTCAACCAGTACAGGGTGCAACTCTTGATCTCAGGGTTGAGTCTGAGCCCCACACTGGTTGTAGAGATTACTTAAAATCTTTAAAAAAAAAAAAAAAAAAAATCTAGCATTGCAAACCTCAACTTTTGTTAAACTGATGAAAGTCACCAGTCCATTCACAAGAAAATCCTCTCATCTCTGTGAAAAGCCACATGCCAGGACACTTTATAAAACACACTGTTGAACCAAGAGTGGTTGTTAAAACTTCAGCAATGCTGCAAGCTGTTCCTTGCTGCCTTCGACCGACCGTTAGGCAAACAAGGCAGAGGTGGGTGGTGCATGGTGGGAAAATGGGTGGTAAACAACAAGCTGAGCCTTTGAAGGACATCCAATCTCTCTAATGTAAGTGGAACCAGATTTCTATCTGCCAAAGACTTTGCCCACCAGAAAGGCCGATCTCTCTCTAGTGGTCCAGCGACATTCTAGTCAGCCTAAGGGACAGATACCTATCTCAGAATCTGAGAGCCCACAACACTTCACATATGCTTCCTGATTCAGCATTTCTCGGTTACTCTTCAACCACAGAGAAGGCACCAGGGGAGCTACTCCTGAGGCCTATGGTCTTTAGACATCTTTCTTTTTTTTTTTTTTTAATTTTTTTTTTCAACGTTTATTTATTTTTGGGACAGAGAGAGACAGAGCATGAACGGGGGAGGGGCAGAGAGAGAGGGAGACACAGAATCGGAAACAGGCTCCAGGCTCTGAGCCATCAGCCCAGAACCTGACGCGGGGCTCGAACTCACGGACCGCGAGATCGTGACCTGGTTGAAGTCGGACGCTTAACCGACTGCGCCACCCAGGCGCCCCTAGACATCTTTCTAGTGCATTTAGAACTCTCAAAATGGCAAATGTTGTGGCATTAAAAACAAGGTAACTAAAGGCCTCTAAGTGTGCACAGAAAACTGGAAATTAGAATTTCTATTTTTATTTCTAAGTCCAGTTTAACTAAAAATTCTATTTCTTACCGAAAGAAATGTCTCAATGTTCTCGTGAACAAAGGAAGCGATATCCTGCCAGTCCAGGATGTCTCCCAGCCAGCTATTCTGACGATTTATATGCATCTTGTGTCCTTTGTGCCTTCCAGAATGCGTTACATTCTATGGAATAAAACGGTTCAGACATGAAATCTCCAAAAGCATAAGAAGTATAAATACTCTATTTTGTTTTATGTCCACTTGAGCACTTGAGTAGTTACTCAAAGGTGAAAAACTTTGCATTATTTAAGAAATCAGCTAAGAACTCTAAAGACCTAAAATATGAAATACATTTTTTCTTCTTCTTTAGATACCTTCTAGATACTACCTGTCAGCTGAGCTCAAGCACTTCCTTTTTAATACATTTATGAACAACCTTCATTTCTTAATACATATTGACTGTACACCAACACAACATTTATTTTCTTTTTTTCCTCTTTTGAGCCCCTCTACCTTTTGGGGGGTCCCCATTTTTGCTTTTTTCTTTCTTTCCTCATCCCACTCCCCTAATTATTAACCTTCCATACAAGATAAAGAAAGCAAGGGGGAGAGAGGAATATAAAGTACATTAAAAACTAAAACAATGTTACATGTCATTTATATCTCAACAAAATGGGGGATAAATGAAAAAGAAACAAAAATGGGGAGAAAAATCTAACTCATCCATATGGAAGAGAAATACATTGACAAGAATGCAGGAATAATTGAAAGAGATATGAATAAACAAAATGACTAGTGAGGTTAAAATTAGAAACATAAGTAGGTTCTTAACATTTTGTTTCTGTTCTGACACTTTTGCTAACATCGTAGTGATATATCAATCTTCATTATGCAATGAAGACATTAGGCGTTAGGAACGAAAGCAACATACTTACCTACTTACAAACCTATGCTTCTAAAACACTGACTTCCCTGGGCCATACAATGAAGCTCAAAAGGGGTGAGGCATAGAAAAAAAGCTGTTTGTAAGCACAAGTCCCAGAGTCAGCAGAAAAAATAGATATAACCTTTCCAATTGACCAGTTCTTCAGCAGATTACTGCCTAGGGATTCCCCAATTAGTTCTAACCTCCAGTCTTTGAAACTCACAAAAACCAGCCGGCTTCCCTCAATTCATCCCAGGAGTGAAAACAGGTCACTATGCAACCAACTCAAACTTGAAATTGAGCTTTCCTCCCTTCTACCCCAAGTTAAAAGGATGATATATACATGCTCTTCTCCTCACCATCAACCCTGTCAAAATTTACCACCTTATCTCATTCTCTACCTCCTTCCCCACTGGATAGTCATCTTCCATAGCACAGCCCCTGAGGGTCCACAGGCCCTGCCAACGCAGTATACAGTATGGCCCCATACAACCAGCTGCTTTTCAAAACCATCGTTTTTAAATTTAGTGGTAAATGGTATTATTTTCCGCCAGAAATTCTGAAGAGTGTATCAGCACAAGTAGCAGGTAAGGGTGATTAAAAATATACATCTCCAAACTTCTGGATCTATTTTCCTTCCTCAAAGAGACAAGTTCTTAATGTCTAAAGCTCTACTATCTAAAACAGTAGCCACTATGTACATGTGGCTATCAGCACTTCAAATGTGGCTAGTCCAAAAACTGAGATGTGGTATTAGTACGAAATACATATGATTTCCAAGACTTATAGGAAAAAAAAAAAAAAGGCTATAAAATATTGCATTAAGATTTTTCTTCCACTGCTTATATACTGAAACAATAATATATTGGGTATAGTGATGTAAGTGAAATATTTTTAGAATTAATTTCACCTGTTTTAGCTTTTTATTGTGGCCATTAAAAAATTAACATTATATCTGTGGTTTATGTTACATCTCAACTGTACAGAGATGAGATGCTGTTGAAAATAATGAACAGAGGAGGGGTGCCTGGGTGGCTCATGCAGTGAGCATCTGACTTCGGGCTAAGGTCATGATCTCACAGTTTGGGAGTTCAAGCCCTCCATTGGGCTCATTGCTGTCTGGGCAGAGCCTGCTTCGGATCCTCTGTCTCCCATCTCTGCCCCTCTCCCACTTGCTTGCTCTCTCAAAAATAAATAAAGTATTTTTTAAAAAGTAAAACAATGAACAGAGGATGGAATACAATACAGCACAGTGACAGGCGGGTTCTGCCATGGAGATTAACCATCAACTCAAGCTGACTTTTAGTGACCTGAGGTTTAAGACCCTGTAGCTTCCAAATTTCAATAAATGACATCCAATGTTAATATCTATCTAGTCAATATGTATCTAGTCAATGAATCTGTAAAATAAAAGGACTTTATAAGTTTAAAATAGAAATCATCTAATAACTTACCTTTACAAACCAAGAATGATACAATCTGTCCCAAAGTTCTAGTACTTGCTTTTCAATTACAGCAGTATTGTTCACCTTATCTCCCAGAATTTTATGAAGCTGGAAGAAATAGATATAATCTGGTTTAATATCTCAGGAAACAATCCAGTAAAATTAATTCATGCTGGGCCTTTATATTTGTTCCAAATCAAACTAAAATGTTTCAGACTATTTAATTGCCTCTAGCCATCTTATAATCTTTCCTTAAACTCTGTACTCTTCAATATTCCCAGCAAATTTCCTTGCTTTTTTTTGGCTTTTTGCTTTCCTCTATTTCTGGGTCTCTAAGAGAGCCACCTCAGGTTGTAAGAGAAAGGTACATGTGAAGCCATGATCACTGACTTAGCAAATCTTATCTGGCCAGAGACAAATATGTTGCATGTGGCCCAAGTGTTTATCCATTACACAGAAATCTCATGTTACATTTATCACTGGTGTAAGAATTACCACAGAACTTCAAGTAAAATTTTAGGACCTTAGCTATAAACACAAATATTTCCCATAGTTTGCTAAGAGGCATCAGGTCTCAGAGTTATGACTGATGATGAGACTGGCTTCAGGGTTTGTGGGAATCAAGTACAGTGAGACAAGATAACTTTGAGGAAAGTTATTCATTATAATACGCCACATTTTTGTTATTAAAACCATAACATAGGGGTGTGTGGGTGGCTCAGTTGGTTGAGCGTCCAACTCTTGATTTGGGTTCAGGTCATGATCTCAGGGTCATGAGATGGAGCCATGTATTGGGCTCCATGCTGAGTGTGGAGCCTGCTTAAGATTCTCTCTCCCCCCACCTGTGCCCCCCACCCCTGCTTGCACACTCTAAAAACAAACAATAGCATAATAGTAAAAACATTTTTTAAAAGATAAACACTGATTTGTAGTCCCACTTCCTTACCACAAATGCTTCCGTTATTCTATATCCTCTGCGACTTTTTATGTTTATAAACATAATTTAGAATTTTTCATCACTTCATCACTTTCATCCTTACTTTTAATGGTTCCATATTAGTTTTGTTTTTTTTTTTTAAGATTTTATTTTTCAGTAATCTCTATGCCCAAGGTGGGGCACAAACTCACAACCCCAAGATCAAGAGTTGCACACTCTACCTTAAGTTCTGATATTAGTTTATCATTACCCAATCATAGGATATGGAGATGGTTCCCAATTTTTAATGTCACAAATAACATTGCAATGAATGTCCTTATACACAACTTTTTTTTTCTTATTACTAATAGCATGATAAATGTATAGGAATCAAAGGAAATAGGCACTTTAATAGCTCTTGCTATGCACTGTCTTCCATAGGGAGTATACCAATTAACATTTTCCAACATTGTATGAATAAACCAGTTTTCCCAAAGCCTTATGGATTGATACATTTTTAGATAATTTAATAGCTGTGAAATTGTAACCAGATACTTTTCTTCTTCAGGTACAATAGTGACACCTTCTCTGTGTTGGTTTTCAATGAGTATTTTCTTTTGTGTGGCCTACCCACACCTTTTGCTTACTTGATGCTGTCCTTACAGATATCTGAACCAGTTTTTAGACTTATTTGGTACAAACATATCTGCCCAATGTTTTTCTCTATACTTTATTCATAAACCAAACACAAATTAGTAAATATAATAGAAGCCATTATCTTCGTATAGCATTTTACAACTTACAAATGGTTTTCACCTACATTACGTGATCATTACAACAACCCCAAGGGTTAGGTCAGAAAAAGGTCTTTATCACCTTTGTTCTTTCAAGAGGAGAAAACAGATTTAGAAAGAACCTACGACAGGCCCAAGTCAGGCAGCTAACTGGTAGAGGCAGGATTAAAAACTCTCTAGTACTCTTTCAACTACAGCATATATAACCTATGAACAAAAAACACCTAACACAGCAAATTGTCCAAAATAACTAAAAGCCACAATTAGCCCTGGTCTTCTTTTAATTACTTTAAATTTGTCTTTTGGGTATCATGACTGCCAGATACTCACAGACTGCCTAGTACCAGTTCTTTCTGTCCCTCTACTCTCAGTTTCTGAGACACCCCCCCCCCACCATTTAACCAGAAGAGCCCCCAGTCTAGGCTGTCTGCACAGCGGCATTCACCACAATAAAGCACTATCGCAAACTGGCATCCACTTCAGCACAGCTCAACAGTAAACAACTCTACAATCACCAAAGCACAGCTATTATTGGTGGTGTCTGAGATGCTCTTTGCAGACAAAAGACAGTGAAGCACTAAGAGCTGTCAGAATGCCATTTGAATGCTGGGTAACTTAAGGTGAATAACCTCATCTATAAAATGGGGATGGTAAGTCAGTGGGCAGTTGTCTGTTCTCATTTTGCTTGGAATCTTAACAGCCATTTGCCACAGGCTGACCAAGTCTTTCTGGAAACATCTTCTCTCAGCCTCTAAGATAAACACAGGCTGTTCCCCCCCACCTCACAGACTACTCCTCCTCCACCTTCTCTGCTGGCTTGCTTCTGTGACCTTCAAAAGCTGCTCTAAGAACCTATCTTTGGTCCTCTTCTATATGTACTTTCTCCTTAGGCCATGTCATGGGATAAATTGTGTCCCTCCTAAATCCTAACCCCCCCCCCCCATACCTTAGTATGTGACTGTATTTGGAAATAAGGTCTTTAAAGAGGTAATCAAATTAAAATGATGTCATTAGGGTGGGCCCTAATCCAACAAGATCAATGTCCTTATAAATTAAAAAAATATATTTTTTTTAATGTTTATTTATTTTTGAGACAGAGAGACAGATTGGGGAGGGGCAGAGAGAGAGGGAGACACAGAATCTGAAACAGGCTCCAGGCTCTGAGCTGTCAGCACAGAGCCCGACACAGGACTTGAACTCACAAACCGTGAGATCATGACCTGAGCTGAAGTCAGTCGCCTAACCGTCTGAGCCACCCAGGCACCCCTGATCAGTGTCCTTACAAAAAGAGGAGATTAGGAGACAGACACACACAGACAGAAGACAATGTGAAGAAGACACAGGCATCTACAAGCCAAGGAGGGAGGCCCCATAAGAAACCAATCCCACCAACACCTTGATCTTGAACTCCCAGCCTGCAGAACTGTAAGAAAATAAATTTCTGTTGTCTGAGCACCCAGTCTGTGATAGTCTGTCATGGCAGCCTTAGCACACTAATACAGTTCACCTCCACCGATGGGCAGAGTAACAGGTAGAGTGAGTCTGACAACATTCAAACTTCCACCTACAGCCCAGATCTCTCCCCTGAGCCCCAGCTACGTATGTCCAAATGCCTTTTCTGATATCTCGACTTAGAAATCTGACAGGGATCTCAAACTTCGCACGCCCCAAACAGAATTATAGCTCGATCTATCTGTAACCCGCCTGACCCCCCACAACCTCCAAGATCTGTTCATCTCAGTAAATGGCACAGCTACCCTTCCAGTCAGGCGAACCAAAAACTTCTTTCCCTTTCATTCCATACCCAATCAATGAGTAATTCCTGTCATAACCACCTCAGAAATACAAGTTAAATGTGACCATTTCTCTCAATTCCCACTTCAACCATCCTAGTCAAAGTTCTCAAAATCTCCTCTAGACTGTTGGAATAATATTCTTTTAGCCAGGGCCCTGCCTTCTCCATTCCTGCCTATCTCTCCATAAAGGAGCCAAAATGAGCTTTGAATATCCTAAATCAGGTCACATCCCTTTCTGTTTTAAATCTGTATTTACCTTCATAACAAAAATAAAATCCCAACTTCTTGTTATGACCTATGGCTAGTCTTGTTACCACATCCCCTGTTCCAGCCATGTTGGCCTTCTTTCTTTCCTTAAACCAATCTTGCTCCAATATCAGAGCCTGTGAATTTTCTATGCCCGCAACTTGGAACTTTCTTTTCCCAGATCTCCAGTGTTAGTGGAAAGATCACCTTCTCAGAGACATTCTGTGGCATTCCAGCTAAAGTATAACCCCAGGTCATTCTCTACCATGTTACCTGATCACAGCACTTCTCTATCTGAAACGGTTACCTGTTGACATGTTTCATGTCTACCCCCGCTCACCAGAGTAAGCTCCAGGAGGGTGGTAACTCTTTGTGGTCTCCTGCTTTCCCCCAGCACTTAGGACAGTGCCTGGCACATTTGTGGACTGGCTGTCACTTTCTTCATTCTAGTCATAGTCAAGAAGGGACAGAGAAAACCCATTCATGACTTATTCTCCTGCTGCCTCCAGGTACAAATTTTGGAAAAAACTTATGAGGCAGGAAGGTTAGCTCAAACAAGGATGCTGAATGAAGAAAGTAAGCTGGATTTGAGAAAACAGCAAACTAGCAGGCCTTGGTAAAACCCAAATAATGCATAGAGGATACAGGAGATAAGGCTGACAACATAGACGGGGGAAGGAAGACAGGAACCTTCTCTGCTCATACCTAAACACACCCCAAAAAAACTGTCTTCCCTTTCTGAGCATGACCTTTTTCCCTAGCTTCAGACCCTTCCACACTTTTGCTCCTGAGACCCAATTCTTACATGATTCTTAGCTGGATAAGATCTGAGCTTATTAGAAAAGCTACCCCTAGAGGGGAAGGGAAAAGAAAAAAAAAAAAAGAAAAAAAAAAAAAAGAGGTTAGAGTGGGAGAGAGCCAAAGCATAAGAGACTCTTAAAAACTGGGAACAAACTGAGGGTTGATGGGGGGTGGGAGGGAGGGGAGGGTGGGTGATGGGTATTGAGGAGGGCACCTTTTGGGATGAGCACTGGGTGTTGTATGGAAACCAATTTGACAATAAATTTCATATATTGAAAAAAAATTCATAAAATAAAATAAAAAAAAAAAAAAGAAAAGCTACCCCTATAATTTCAATGGTTCTTTTTTTTTTTAAACAACCTTATTGAGATAATTCACACACCTTACAATTCACCCACCTAAGTGTAGTAATTCAATATTTCTTGTAGTATATTCAAACTTACACAACCATCACCACAAGCAATTTTGAAACATTCTCCTCACCCCAAAAGGAAACGCCATACTTCTTAGCAATCACTCCACCATTTCCCCCAATCTTCCCTACCCCTGGAAACTACTCTACTGTCTCTATAGATATGCCTCTTCTGGATGTTTCATACAAATGGAATCATACGTATGTGTTCTTTTATGACTGCTTTCAACTGGCATTAATGTTTTCAAGGTTCATCTATATTGTAGAATGTATCAGTGCTTCCTTCCTTTTTATGGCAGGTAATCGTATATAGATACACCACATTTTATTTATCCATTCGTCAGTCAATACACATTCAATGGCTGGTTTTAGATATTATCCTCATGTCTTCTAAATCAGGACCATGAGTATGTTACCATCTTTGTTAGCAATACTCTTCTCTCTTCAGCTGTCTTTCCTTTTAGAATCTCGAACAAAAGGTTTCAAACTTATCTTTTCTCTAAGTAATTTCTTTTTTTTTTTTTTTTTTTTTAAATTTTTCAATGTTTATCTATCTTTGGGACAGAGAGAGACAGAGCATGAACGGGGGAGGAGCAGAGAGAGAGGGAGACACAGAATCGGAAACAGGCTCCGAGCCATCAGCCCAGAGCCTGACGCGGGGCTCGAACTCACAGACCGCGAGATCGTGACCTGGCTGAAGTCGGACGCTTAACAGACTGCGCCACCCAGGCACCCCCTTCTCTAAGTAATTTCTAAGGAACATTCTCCAGCTTTCCCCAAGTAGGTAGATTTTCAGAATACAAATTATATACCAAAACAAATATATAAGCCAAAAAATTAAATACTATGCTTTCAGCAGAGTAAGTCAGCCAATATATTTCTAGAGGTCTAAGAGGCTTCTGCAATGGCTGGATCTTCTTCTATGATAGTTATGAAATCTATACCAATAGACTTATCTTTCACTTATTCACCAAATATTTTTTAAAGACTTCCATGTGGCATTTGATTTGGTTACCTGGTATGGGCTCAAGAAAATCAGTAACACAGATCTTTCTCTTAACTTTTTACTCAACAATAATTCCATCCTTAGGTTAGATTACTATACACAGGTGGACAGCGTAATTTCCAAGATAATTTTTTTTTGAGACTTCGTTCTTGAATTTTGAACAAGGAATCACATACCAATACTTTTTTTTCTGGGCATACATCTAACTGCAACAAACCTTGTTAATCCCTAGATGATCCTAATTACTTCAATCTATTAAAACTCCAAATTACCGTCCTTCTCATAGGCACTATTGGGGGGTAGAGAATAAAAGGATATCCCAAATTTGTCCCATGGAGTCTAACCCTTACCTGCAATAACTGTGCCTTTTCCTCTATCCTTCATTTCCTTCCGCAAAGCTTCAGATAGACTAATCTCCTCAAGCAGACTCCTGTCTCCACATCTTGGCTCACAAAAACACTCCTTAAGATACACTCTTCCTTCTCTTTATTCATCTAAGACATATCATTCCTTCAGCGTTTCTCTCAAGTGCCATGTTAAATAAAGCACCTAACCCAGTTTTGGGCATGAACTTCTAGCATGCTATAGTAGAAACAAGGGATTTAGAATTAGTCTTCAGTTTGAAACCAAGTCTGCAATTCACAACATGACCACTGGGAATTTACTTAGCCTTGCTAAGCCTGTTTCTTCCTCTGTAAACTGGGTAAAATAATTCAGACTACTGCAATTTCTTGGAAAGATGAAAAGAAACAAACTAGAAATGCCAACCACAGTCACCAGCAGATAATATTTAATATTTGCTAACAACATTTTCTTCTCCACAAAGCCTTATTTGACCAATCTTAATGATCATTATTTGTGCATTAGGACAGAATGAATATCTACCTTGAACAAGAAGCAAAGGACAAATCTCTCTGTTCAGGCTACTAGCACTTTTTTTTTTTTTTTAATGTTTTTATTTTTTTTTTTTTTGAGACAGAGAGACAGAGCATGAGCAGGGAAGGGGCAGAGAGAGAGGGAGACACAGAATCTGAAGCAGGCTCCAGGCTCCAAGCTGTCAGCACAGAGCCTGACACAGGGCTCGAACTCACGGACTGTGAGATCATGACCTGAGCTGAAGTCGGACACTTAACTGACTGAGCCACCCAGGCGCCCCACTAGCATTATTAAATACAATCACCCAGAAAGTTTAATTTCATTGTACATTTCTTGTTGTCTAGTAGATTTAAGCCTATTTCAAAAACAAACTGTTCTAAACAGAATCTCCATTTATACTTTATTAAAGCAGTTAAGTCCTACCAATGAAGAACCTGCAAAGAGAAAGCTACAAAGAGAGGCTCTTCCCTTACCTTGTGGGTTATCCACTCTCTTCCATACTGATACACGTTGTTAGCCGCAGAATTGAGGGCTCTTTGGACTACCTGAGCTTCAGGAAGCCAACTAATTTAAAAGAAAAAAGAAAAAATTAAAAACTAGCATATTTTTAGTGTACTGCACCAATAACTCTTGGAATTCAATGTATTTAAACAATCATTAACTGACAAATTATTGATCAGTTATCACACACGGCTACAAATGAATCATATGTAGGAAGCCTTGACTTCCGACCCTAATGCTTATTTCTACCATTTAAGATTCCCTTCAAGCTTTCCTTAGCTATTAGACCCACTCTCCCCCACAAACTCCCTTTCATTCTGCTCTGTCCATACATGTTATCTGCCTTATTCAGCACCAGCAGAAGTGGTTCTGGGACAATGGGATAGTCAGTACCTGGGCAGAGGTTCTCATTGTGTGGTCCATGGACCAGCAGCATCAGAACTGCTTGGAAACCTGCTAGATATGCAAATTCTTGGGCTCAATTCCAGATCTACTGAAAAAGAAACTGGGCAGGGGCCCAGCAATCTGTACCTTAACAAGCCCTAAAAATGGTTCTGATGCATGCTGAAGTTTGAGAACCACTGGTCTAAGAATGTGAAAAACTCAGAAAGAAAACAAGAAAATTAAGAGGGTGAATCATTGTTTTCAATTTCGTACTCACTGGAGATCTTTTTAAGATATGAGGACCTCCTGAGCAGTGTTTCAGCTATACAAGGAGCTCCATCTACAAGCTTTACTCCTTGTGCTTTGAGAGACAGACTCCTCACTTTCCTGTTAACTACGCAGGCTGCATCAACTGCCTTAATCAAGAATATGTTACATATACTCAATGTTTCCTCAACAAGAAATATCTTCATATATTCTTTAAATTGTACCTCAAGAGATTGTTTACTAGAGATGTTGACATTCACAAATATAATAGTCCTGATCTCAACTATACATGAGTGATGCCCAAAGGCCAAGGCAAGCAGTAACTAAGTACTTTCCTGAGGCCTAAATATGACACACATCACAAAGCTGGCTTATGGGAAAGAGTCAAATAGTGAGTCAAGTCAAATCTGCAATGTTCACAACTCACAGCAGTTTTATATACTTGTAGTAATTTATATAGTAAATCAGAAGTGGTAACTTGCGCGCGCGCGCGTGTGTGTGTGTGTGAGAGAGAGAGAGAGAGAGAGAGAGAGAGAGAGAGAGAAAGATGGTCATAAACAAAACCAACTGCCACTACAGCCACAAAGTAATGATGCCTAGGACAGCAATGATCTTTAATCAGAGCAAAAGGCATTCTGGATACATTAGAAAGTGGAATGTCGGGGCGCCTGGGTGGCTCGGTCAGTTAAGCATCTGACTCAGTTCAGGTCGTGATCCCAGTTTGTGGGTTCAGGCCCCACATCGGGCTCTGTGCTGACACCTCAAAGCCTGGAGCGAGCTTCGGATTCTGTGTCTCCTTCTCTTTCTGCCCCTTCCCCACTTGTGCTCAGTCTCTCAAAAATATATAAATGTTAAAAGAAAATTAAAAAAAAAAGTGGAACATCAAATTAGTAATGGTTTCAACCTTTAATATTAACCAGTTCTTCCTACACTCCAAATAAAATATTTGTGAAACTTTCGGCAAATTCTCAACTATTTCTCAGCAAGTAAGACAAAACTTGCTATAACTGTATTTCTCAGCAGGTAGGACAAAAAGAGATGATTACAAATATAATAATCTAAGTATGTGAACAGGAAACTGGGATCTTTAAACACAGATGGGATTTGGGAGAAATTAAGTACCTTTTAAATTATCCTAGTATTTACAGGTTCATCAGTGCTCTGAAGGGAGCTGAATGTTTTCAATTAACTGGTAGTACATTTCATGGGGAAAATTATAACCTGTAGTGTTTTGTTTTTTTAATGTTTGTTTATTCTTGAGAGAGAGGCAGACAGAGACAGAGTGTGAGTGGGGGAGGGTGAGAGAGAGAGGGAGACACAGAATCCCAAGCAGGCTCCAGGCTCTGAGCTGTCAGCAGAGCCCAACGCAGGGCTCGAACTCACAAACTGCGAGATCATGACCCGAGCCCAAGTCGGAAGCTTAACCGACTGAGCCACCCAGGTGCCCCATAACCTGTAGTGTTAAAGTAGGAAGATTGACAGAATTATCTGAATAGATCCTTAATGACTAACAAGCATCTATAAGGCCTGATAAACTCTTGCTGGCTACTGTGAAAACACTTTGCCAACGTCATCACACAGGTGTCCTAAGAGCTCCAGATGAGAGGAGAGCTGATGTGAGGCTAAGTCAAAGGTCTTGGCTCCATCCAGACGTCCTCACAATGAGCGCCCTGTAAGAGACACAGGGCCAGAAACACCTGAGCAACTCTGGCTGAGACAAACTGGGATGTGCTTTGGTCTTATTATCAACCAGAACCAATCACTAATTCTACTACACTAAGTCAAGAGGGACCAGTCAGGAGAAACCAAGTTCCTAGAAATTGGACTGGCCTACCCTCATCTTCCTGGGGAGAGGTTAATCTCTATCACAATGTGACTTACCGAAAGGACAGCCCCATTAAAAACAACTTAGCTTAGCCTGGGGGATTCCTCCCAAGTAAGGGAAGGCTAAATCACTTTCAGTACCATTTTAATGCCATCTCCTGAGGAGGGTCATGAGAATCAACAGGCTTGAGACTAGTTAATAGAAAACAAGAAATGGGCTCCAAGTGAACAAAATTGTTCAAGACAAGAATAAAGATGTGCTCCAACTTCATTTTCTATGAAGCTCTGTGAAGATGACCCTACCCTGCCTATGTCATTTATCCACCAGCTCACAAAACATACTCATGGGAAGTTGAGGTACCTACGTAGGGTATATAAAACGTGCATCACATTGGAAGACAGCATATCTAACCAGTTCTTAACTGTATCTCCCCCACTGGATATATCTACGTGAATTTTCCACAAAGTCAACTGCCATCTTCAGGACAGGAATCCACTGAGTACTGAGATTGCAAGAACCATTAGTATTCATTCATGTCTACCTCCATTAATCTGTCGCAGGAGAATCAGACTTCCCACAGATGATCAAAGCCTAAACAGCTTTTAATTCCTTCCATCTTCCTGCTTGGAATATTACACAGCAATAAAAGGGAACACGCTAATGATACCTACAATGTCTTCAATGAACTTCAACAGAATTATGAGTAGTGAACTTTGTTCACTACCAATCTTTCAATCTCACAAGGTTACATACACTATGATTTGATCTATGTATCAATCATGAAACAACATTATAGATACAGAGAACAGATTATTGGTTGCCAAGCGTTAGGGATATGTTAAACGAGAAGGTAGAGGGTAGGTGTGGCTATAAAGGGGTGGCATGAGGAAGCCTGTGGTTATGGAACAGTTCTGTTCTTGATGGTCTTGATAGCTTATAGGAAGCTACACATATAAAATTGTAAACACACATATACACAAATGCATGTAAAACTAGCAAAATGTCCATTTCCTAGTTTCGTTATTGTATCATAGTCATGCAAGATGTCAACATTAGAGGAGGTGGGCTGAAGAATCCATGGACCTCCCTATGGCTTTCTTTGCCATGCCTGGTGAATCTAGAATTATTACAAAATTTAAAAATAAAAACAACCAACTTTCTTTTTTTTAATTTTTTTTTCAACGTTTATTTATTTTTGGGATAGAGAGAGACAGAGCATGAACGGGGGAGGGGCAGAGAGAGAGGGAGACACAGAATCGGAAACAGGCTCCAGGCTCTGAGCCATCAGCCCAGAGCCTGACGCGGGGCTCGAACTCACGGACCGCGAGATCGTGACCTGGCTGAAGTCGGACGCTTAACCGACTGCGCCACCCAGGCGCCCCAAAAACAACCAACTTTCTAAACTGCTCTGATCTGGGGCTCCTCAGATTGTGTGTGCCTTCAATACAGTAGCAGCGACAGTCCTATTGCCATTGAAAACCAGTATAGAGGGGCTCTGGGCTTATTTCCATTACAGGAGAATGACGACCGAAAGAGGAGCCCTTGAGATATTAACGCTGCCTGATTTTTAACTTCACTCCAGATCACTCTCCTGAACTAAACACCAACACAGCCAATGGTCTTCAAGATACCTCTGCCTACCATAGGCACCTCAAACACAAAAGATAAAAAAAGGAAGCAAATTCTTTTTCCCACCGTATCTGCTCCTCTACTTCCTATCTAGGTGAATCTACCATCATCAACCAACTTTCAAAGCTAGAAACAAAAGTCATGCTAGATTTCTTCCAACTATATCCAGTTGACCACCAACCAACCTCCTTAAGATCTTACCCTATTCATTTCCACTACAAATGTCCACAATTAAGGACTTCATCACCTCTCATCTAGTTCTAAAAGGCTCAAATCTTATATGCTGTGCATCTTTTCTCCATAGTATAGAGGGAAAGACTGTTCTAGAATGAAATCTGATTATGCCACTTCTCTTCTTCTGTCCTTAATCAAGATAATAAACATTATCTATCACCTTCAAAAGTTTCCTTGTGCATCTATGTACTCCCTTCCTGGGGCCCACCCCTATCCACAGACACCACTGATCTTTCTGTCACTATGGATTAGTTTGCATTTCCTAGAACTTAGCATAAATGGAATCATACTGTATCAGTTGTTGGTTTTTTGGTTTTTTTTCATTTTTTTATTTTCTGCCCGACTTCTTTCACTCAGCATACTTATTCTGAGATCTATCCATGCTGCTGCATGTACAGTTTATTGTCACTGAATGCTAAGTGAAATGCTATTCCTTTCTACGGATATACTGCAATTGGTAACTAACCAGGAATATTAAGGACAAGCACTTTGAGTGTGAAACGCATTTTGCAAGATGTCCTTTTAAGGATATTCAAATATGATTCTAAACCAAGTTCAAGAAACGTCCTTTGCAGGTTTTACACAAAGGAATAAAGTCAAAGTAGAAAAGCAAGTGAAATCTCAATTTGTAATCCTAAAACTGACAGAGTACTTCCTACTTACATTAGTGACTACTTTGAAGGTATTAAAAAAAAAAAAAAAAAAGGCCATACAGTTTGTCAATCAAATTCAACAGGGTGACATAAAACCCTTGTCACAGAAGCCAAATTAAACAAGTAAAAAAGAGACCCTATCTAAGACAGGGGTTGGCAAATGTTATCTGTAAAAATATTTCAGGCTTTTCGGGACATAAAATCTGTATCATGACTACTCAATTCTACCTGTTCTTGCACCCCCCCTCCCAAACAACCACAGACAACATGTAAATAAATGGGTATGGGTGTGTTCCAATAAAACAGGTGGCTAGATCTGGCCCTGAGCCACAGACTGCCTACCCTGCCTCCAAAATGACACAATGTGAAAACACTACTGACCCTGCCACTGGGGGATTATCTCCAATTCCGTAACCTTTGATTCTGCTTCCTCATCTGTGAAATGGGGATAGTCTCTTCAACCTCCTCAGTCACTGTGATGAACACCTACATACAAGTGTAGGTGAAAGGCCTTTGCAAATCATATACATGTTGTAAACTATAAATCTCAATTCAAGTACAAAGTCATTTACCATAAACTGTTCCCAAAAGCATACACACTTCCCTCTCCCACCATCCCCCAATACATGCTGTCCTGATGCAAAAACAACAACATTCATCAAAGCTTTGGCAAAATCCATCTTTTCTCTTCCAATATAGATACATCAATGAAGATAAGATCGTTTTGTGCAGATACTGAACGTAGGCCATTCATTTCTATTTTGCCAAAATAATACTCTTACTTTGCCCACTCAGGGTGATTTGCTAGAGTCTCATTAATCAAATTGCTTGTGACTTCAATCATGTGCACACTCTCTTGATGCACCTGTATTATGGATAGGAGAGAAAAACAATCTCAATAAAAAATAAGCCCAATTTAACATTTATTTTTCCACACTATTATTGGAACAATGCTTTTAGAGTTAAGTAATTACACATCTTAGTTTCAATTAATTTAGAAACCTGTACTGAACAGCTGTTATACATAATGTCCTATGACACTCACTATGGGAAACAAAAAGTACATAAAAGCTCCCTACCTTCAAGAAGCTCAACAACTTAAGGAAAAACAACATGTGACTAGGTACATACAAATATTTATACATATACACAAGACAAATACATAAATATATTAATTTCACACACGTGTGTGTATAGTACATATTAGCAATATCAACACTGCATGAACAGTGCTTATAGAATTATGAAACAGTGTGAGACATACAAACAAGCAAATAAAGAACTTAGCAAGGTTTCTGAGGGGGGCGGGGAGGGAAGCCAGCTGAAACTGTATCTCAGAATTTACCCTGCTCAATAACCAAAAAATGAGACAGACAAAATGGAACAAGCCAGCCTTAGAGAATATGCTCTATATTTTACTATTTTCAAATTGGGCATACCAGGCAGTTTGCCCTGGTGAGTATTCCGTGCTCACTCGACAAGAACATCATTCTGCTGTTGTCACTTCACATTGACTAACAGTGTTTTTCAAGCCTTTTCTATTCTTAACTAGTTTTCTATCTACTTATTCTCTCAGTTACCACAAGAAGAGTATTACTGAATCCCTAACCATAATCACTGGTTTGTCGATTTCTCCTTAAATCTGACTATTTTGCTTCACCTTCTATTTAGCTCTACCGTTAGGAATACACACGTTTTAAAACTGGTAAATCCTACTGCAGTGTTACCTCTTTTATCGTCATGACAAGTCCTTATTTCTTACTTACCTTCAGTAATGTTTGTTTAAACTATCTGCTCTTACATTAATATAATCACCCTACAAACCTTACGTTTACAGTGTGAGTGGTGGGTGTATCTTTTTTCATCTTTTGGCTATCAAACTTTTTAGGGCTCTGAACTTAAAGGGTATCATTTACAGATACCACTTAGCTGGAGCTTGCTATTTTATATCCAGTCTGAAAATCTCTGTCATTTAATTGCTTCATATTTAATATACGCATTGATATGATTGGATTCAGTCTGCCATTTTGCGATTTGTCTTCTGTTTCATCCCTACTGGTATTCTTTTACTGCCTTCTTTTGTGTTAAGCAACATTTCTTAGTATACCATTTCAGTTCCTCTAAAATTTGTTAGTGGTTGCTATTTACCTTAAGCTTATTTATCTTAAGCTTAAGCTTACCACATCTTTAATTCATCATAGATCACCTCAAGTTAATGCTGACTTACTTCCAATAAAATATTTATAAGAACTCCATACCACTATGGTTGTATCCCAGTCTTCTCCTTTGTGCTATGGTTATACATACATAGTCCATCTAGGTGTATTATAAACTCTACAATACAGTGTTAAAACTTTTAAATAGTCCTGTTATTTGAACAAACTGAAAAAGGGTGGGGGATATAATTTTTATATATATGCACATATCTACCAAATGCTCTTCATTCCTCCCTTTGGACGTTAAGTTATTTCTAGAGTCATTTCTCTTCAGTCTGAAGGAATTCCTTCAGCGTTCCTTAAAGTGCAGGTGTGCTATTAACAAATTCTCAGTTTTGGTTATCTAGAAATATTTTTATTTTGCCTGTACTTTTAAAGAATAGTTTCATTTATTATAAAATTCTTGACTGACCACTTGTTTTTTTTCCCCAAAACTGAATATATCATTCCAATGTCTTGTGGTATGCATGGTTTATTATAGGAAGTCATTGTTTTGTTGTTCTCCTGTGTGTGATACATAATTTTTCTCTTGCTTCATTAAAGATTTTTTTCTCTTTGGCTTTCGGTGACTATGATCTGTCTAGGTATGGTTTGTTTTGTATGTATTTGTTTTATATGCATTTATTCCACTCAGGGTTTGTTCAGCTTCTTGGCTATTTTAATGTTTTTCATCAAACTTGAAAAGTTTTTGACCATAATTTCTTTTTTAATTTTTTTAACACAGGCCATAATTTCTTCAAATATTTTTTGCACTCTTTCTCCTTTCACTTTCTGGGATGTCAATTATGTATCTGTTAGAATCTGTGATATTGTCCTACAAATCTTTGAGTCTCCCCTCACCCACTATTTGACAAATATTGTGTCAGATTGGATACCTTCTATTCATCTTTTTCCAAATTCACTCATTGTTTTTTTTCTGGATCCCAAATCTGCTGTTAAGCCTATCTAGTAAATTTTTCACTAGTTATTGCTCTCTTCAGCTCTAGGATTTCTATTAGGTTCTGTTTTATAGTCTCCATTTCTCTGTTGAGCATCTGCATTTGTTTACATATTATTAACATACTTTACTTCTTTTGATATATTTATATATAGAGACATACATATATATATGCAGATCTATTTATAATATCTGCTTTAAAATGTTTACTAAATCCAACATCTGAGCCACTTAAATATCCACTTCTTTGACTGTTTTTTTTTTTTTTTTTCCTCACCAGGTCATACTTTTCTGTTTCTTTGTGTGTCTAATAATTTTGGGTTAGAAATTAGACATTTAAAAAAATGCATTGTAGAAACTCTGGATTTTGTTTTGTTTTTCTGAGAGCTGTTGTTTCTTTCAGTAAGGAATTAACTTATCTACAGTCAAACCGCAAAATCTGCCTTCCCTGTCATTGATGTCTCTGCTCAGTGTTTTCATCTTATTATTTTTTTAAAGCCTAAAGCCTTCCCCTGAACCTGCACAGCTTAGCAGTTAGCAAACGATTTTGGCAGAAATCATGCCCAGATATTTCACGATAGGAATCTTCATCCCCTGCAGCCTGAGATGTATGAGAATTGAGAAATGCAACCAAAGGCATAATCAATCTGCAAATCTCTCCAGGCTTTCAATGTTCACAGGACTCCATGGGGTCTCCCATATACCAGTCTAGGATGCATGGTTTATTAATGCTCTTATTATTAAGTTCTTCATGGCTCTCTTGCTTCCGGAATCTCCCCCCTTTAATTTACAGCTACTCTATTGTCAGCCCCAAGTCAAGTCTACCACCTCCATGGGAAAAGCTACAGGTTTCTGCTGTCCAAGCTAGGCGGGATAAGAATATCTCCAAGCAAGAAAACCACAAACTATCTGTTTTTATAGATGCAGTAGCAGTTTTTCATGAGCAAATATTCCTCAAACTGTCGCATAATGGTTTTCCAATGCCCTAGTATGGTGTTTTTAATAATTTTATACTGTTTTATTCTTGCTTTCGATGGAAAGGAACTACCTGACATTGCTGCCCTGCTACTACCCCAAGATGAAGCCAAAAAGGATTTTCTGACTAATTGGATGTGGATACAAAAGGGAAGTAGTCAAGGATGACTCTGGGGCTTTTCACCTAAGCAAGTGGGATGGAGTAGTCATTTACACTGAAATAGACTATGAGGAAGAGAACAGATAAGCAAGAGAAGATCTGAAATTCTGTTTTTGATATACTACATTTGAAATGGCTATTAGACATTAAAGTGGATATCCTCATGGTGTTTTAGAGAATAATCCCTTTATTGGCTGGGAGAAAAGACTAGATAACCAGTAAGTTTCCTTCAAAAACTCAGTTTGCATGAGTCCTAGACCACAAAGAAGTGGTTCGGTAATAAATGTTATCAAAGTTCAGGAAAGTAAAAGCTCACTGAAGCATGGGTTGAACAAAGAAAAAGGACTTTAAAAAAAAATGAACATAATTGAGATAAGCAGACAAGAAGACCCCAAGCAAAGAAATACAAAAGGGAAAGAAGAGCAGGAGAGAGGAAAAAGGAAAACGGAAGATCATACTGGTGTAAAATTTCTCTAGGAGCTAGAATAGGAGATAAGAATATATAATGGCAGGTTCAGGCAAAATAAAAACAAAAAAGGTCTTTAAAAAGTCTATACAGTCTCTATAAGTGACTATACATGATTCATATCCAAAGAACAGATAAGAACTACACAGAAACTGAGACAGAAATATGGAGAGCGCAGGCTGTTAGGAGCAAATGGTAAGACTGAGGACACACTGAGGCTGAGAACGACTGAGAACAGGACTTCCAAGTGGTAACTGACAGAGCAGGAAACAATGCAATGCTTTAGTAAAGTCTACGTATCAGATTATCCATTGATAACGTTTACTACCATACCTCTACAGCACTGTATGAAAAAAAAATGTTTTTATTTTTATTTTTTTAATGTGTTTATTTTTGAGAGAGAGAGAGAGAGAGAGGGAGAGAGAGAGAGCAGGGGGAGGGGAGAGAGAAAGGAAGACACAGAATCTGAAGCAGGCTCCAGGCTCTGAGCTGTCAGCACAGAGCCTGACAGGGTGCTCAAACCCACAAAGCATAAGATCATGACCTGAGCCAAAGTCAGACCCTCAACCCACTGAGCCACCCAGGCACACCTATGTGAAAATTTTTCATGTCCATGATTTCACATAAACTTCACAACTCTTAGAAAAACAACATATCAAAACCTAGGATGAGAAGTTCAGTGGATTTCAGATAAAGATTAAGATACAGAATAAACATTTGTTTTAAAAGTCAGGAAGATGTATCAAATATAGAGAAAATTTTAGTAGCACTTTGGAGAATGGTTTTCTTAGATGAAAGAAGGGTGTTAAACCCTGAATGTCTGTAGACTCCCAAAATTCTTATGTCCAAATCTTAACCTCCAATATGATGGTTAAGAGATAGGGCCTTTGGGGGGGCTCCTGGGTGGCTCAGTTGGTTAAGCAACCGACTTCGGCTCAGGTCATGATCTCACAGTTTGTGAGTTCAAGCCCCACGTCAGGCTCTGTGCTGACAGCTCAGAGCCTGGAGCCTACTTCAGATTCTGGGTCTCCCCTTCTCTCTACCCCTCCCCTGCTCACACTCTGTGTCTCTCTCTCAATAATAAACGTTTAAAAAAAAAAAGAGAGAGAGAGAGAGACAGGACCTTTGGGAAGTAATGAGGTTGTGAAGGTGGAGCCCTCATGATGGGATTAGTGCCATTAGAAGAGACACAAGAGAACCAGAAAGGGGCCCTTTGCCAAGAACTTGACCATACTGGCACCCTGATCTGGGACTCCCAGCCTCCAGAACTGTGAGACACAAATGTCTGTTGTTTAAGCCACCCAGTCTGTGATGTTCTAATAGTCCAAACTAAGAAGAAAAAGAGGAATTGTAAGCTAGAAAGTAAGAAATAAAGATTACATGGTAGGGGTACCTGGGTGGCTCAGTCAGTTGAGCGTCCAACTTCAGCTCAGATCATGATCTCACAGCTTGTGAGTTCAAGCTCCATGTTGGGCTCTGTGCTAACAGCTCAGAGCCTGGAACCTGCTTCAGATTCTGTGTCTCCCTCTCTCTGCCCCCAACCCTCTCACACTCTGTCTCTGTCTCTCTCTCTCAAAGATAAATAAACGTTAAAAAAAAAAAAATTAAAAGAAAACAAAAAAGATTCCATGGTAAATTAGCAGAAAGACTAATGAGACAAGAAGGGAAGGAACTAATCAAGAAATTCTGATCTAGGAAACAAAGAACCAATGAATTTAGGAGTCATGAGACCAGATCATAGTTCTCCTTTTGAAAGAAGAAGCCACTTATTCTTCAGTATCAATTTTTTATTCTGCACTTACATCTGAGGATTTTGATAACAAAATTTAAATGCACATAAAAAAAATAAAAGGCAAATTCATGACAAAATTACTAATGCAAAAATCTTAAATAATTTAATTGCTAAATGTATTTATAAGCAAAGTAAATTTTCCATGCTGGCTTCTGCCAACGTCTTCTGCATACTACAATTATAACAATTAAGAGTTTATTAATGGCAATAGTAATTGTTATACTCTACCTTTGCAGTCAGGAGTAGGGCTAAAAGAAGGGTTCCTATCACTAATAAAAATATGATGAAAATGCTAATTATTTTGTCTAACATCTTCTCCAACCAGATGATCATCTGTACAGAAATGAAAAAGAGAATTACTTATCTTTCAAGCACAACTTAATAAAAATGCATATGTATTCAAACATCATTAAGACAAAATAGGATATTCAGCATTGCAAATCAAACTATGGCATAACGATTAAAGCAGTGAAAGCCATAAGCAACTTCAGAAAATTAACAGCATTAATTACCATTGTTATATAAAGAATTTATTATCATCATATCTAAGAATGGCAGTCAATTTGAACATAACCTGTATTTATGTTTGAATTCTCACACAGTGGTATATTTGCATTTCAAATTGTAATTTAGAATCTGGTAAATATTCTAAATGAAATTTTAAAAAAAGATCTTGGGGTACCTAGGTGGCTCAATCCATTAAGCGTCCAACTTTTGATTTTGGCCCAGGTCAAGATCTCACAATTTCAGTTCAAGCCCCCACAGAGCCTGCTTGGGATTCTCCCTCTCTCTGCTCCTCCCTCACTCACATGCTTTCTGTCTCTCTCAAAATAAACTTTGAAAAATATACATTCTAGGGGCAAGTGGGTGGCTCAGTTAAGCATCTGACCTGGGCTCAGGTCATGATCTCACGGTTTGTGGGTTCAAGCCCCGCATCGGGCTCTGTGCTGACAGCTCAGAGCCTGGAGCCTACTTCAGATTCTGTGTCTCCCTTTCTCTCTGTCTCTCTCCTGCTCGTGCTCTCTTTCAAAAATAAACATTAAAAAAAATTCTTTTAGGGGCGCCTGGGTGGCGCAGTCGGTTAAGCGTCCGACTTCAGCCAGGTCGCGATCTCGCGGTCCGTGAGTTCGAGCCCCGCGTCAGGCTCTGGGCTGATAGCTCGGAGCCTGGAGCCTGTTTCCGATTCTGTGTCTCCCTCTCTCTCTGCACCTCCCTCGTTCATGCTCTGTCTCTCTCTGTCCCAAAAATAAATAAAAACATTAAAAAAAAAATTTTTTTTTAAAAAAAATTCTTTTAATATTCTAAAGGAAATAATGGTAATATATTAGCTGACCTCAAATCTCATGAAATTTTACTATCAATTAGCAAATAAAGATAGCTTTAGAAAAAGTATGCCTCTTATAAAACAGGTATGTCCTAAATGACACAAGATGAAAGAGAAGCAAATTAAAGTGGAAATTATATTCAAAATATTTTTCCTCTTGGGGCGCCTGGGTGGCTCAGTTGGTTAAGTATCCGACTTCACTCAGGTCACGATCTCGCGGTCCGTGAGTTCGAGCCCCGCGTCAGGCTCTGGGCTGATGGCTCAGAGCCTGGAGCCTGCTTCAGATTCTGTGCCTCCTTCTCTCTCTGCCCCTCCCTGTTCATGCTCTGTCTCTCTCTGTCTCAAAAATAAATAAAACCATTAAAAAAAATTAATAAAAAAATATTTTTCCTTTTGATGCCACTGGGGTTACAAAAACAGTAATAATAAAAATCTAATGTTAAGGTCATGATAAGTATCAACTTGAGAATATTACGAGGGTGGCTGGGAGGGGAGAGTTAGGAGGTGGATGTACAATCAGGGAGGTCACAAAATGGTATTTAATTATACAGGTAATGTTTTATCAGGCTGGAGGACAGACTCAATGTTCTCTACATCTTTTTGTATTTGAGAGACTTCATAACCAAATACTTTTTTTTTTTTAATTTTTTTTTCCCACGTTTATTTATTTTTGGGACAGAGAGAGACAGAGCATGAACGGGGGAGGGGCAGAGAGAGAGGGAGACACAGAACCGGAAACAGGCTCCAGGCTCTGAGCCATCAGCCCAGAGCCCGACGCGGGGCTCGAACTCAAGGACCGCGAGATCTTGACCTGGCTGAAGTCGGACGCTTAACCGACTGCGCCACCCAGGCGCCCCTCCGCTTGACATTTCCATTCTTTTTAAAACATAAGCTTTAGGACAAATGGACTGTAAATAAAAACTAATCATTAATGTAATGGTTATTCCTTAATCAATAATTAAATTATGCTCTCCCTAACTGCTACTTGACATTCCATTTTGAATATAACTTCTCTCATCTTTCACAATCACAAATAACCCTACATCAAAAACAAAATTTTTGTTTTCAGAATATATAATAGTTCTGATAGATATCTAGAATTCCTGCCATGCAAAGCTGGCATTTAACATTTCAAAAGGCCAATCATTTACATTGACGGCTGCTGAAACCACACTGGGCCCTCAACCCCTACAAGAGCTACAGCATTGAGGAGGAAGTGAGTTCTAATTTAAATCTGAATTATGCTCTCCAGTGAGTTAAACACTCAAGAGCAAAGAATGGTAGTTAAAAACAAAACATGACTTCTAAAACATCTGTTTTCCATTCCATGCAATAAGCTTGCATCCCTTTATCTTCCATGACGGATACTGTCACTAAGAAATCAATGCTGCAGTGAACTCAAAGATAAAAAGTTCAACTTTTATCTTGACCATTACAGCTTCAAACAGCAGAGTTAATTTTCAGTGCATGCTACCAAAGCATCAAAGACAATGTAGAGATTAAAAAAGTAGTAACACATTTCTAAGATATGGAAGGTCAGATGTCATATTTGAATGTACATTCTAAAATCAATGAAACTGAAAAGTTTCACAATCAGAAACCAATTCTACACATAGTTCTTGAGACAGCTTCTGATGAAAGAGCTAGTGCTAGGATTCCTCCCTGTCGTTCCCAAGCCTGGCAGTGCATGGCACATGGTAAAAGCTCAAATATAGATTTAAAGAGCCAAGCATAAATAATTTCAGAATCAAGACCAGATTTGTATTCACAAATAACAATTTCTGAAAATAACTTCGGAGTCCCAATTTTTTTAAAAAATGTCTATTCTGAAATATGTTTTAATGTAAATGATGCTTTATTTAGAAAATATATCTAAATTTGTATCTGGGTATTTGTAACATAAAACATGAGATATTCACAAACAAATTATGTATATCAGCATTACAAAATCAAACTTTATGTTTTTAAACCAGGGTAGAATTTTCCTATCCCAAGCCATTTACCTAAGGGTTGGAAAAAATCCACACTAAGAGTCATCTAAATGAAAATTTATATTGCAAAGATAACAGTGAAGGTTAGATGTTTCATTCAAAATTTAAAATAAATAACACCAGATAAGATGCTCAATATGTTAAGCTAAAAAAGACAGGGTGGGGGGAAAGTGTCTATTCATATTATGGCCAGTTAAAATAAGGTTAAAAAAAAAACCAGGATAAAAAGGGAGAGAGGTAAAAAGAGAGACAGGGAGAGAGGAGTGGGAAAGAGAAAGTATTAAAAAGTAAAGGGAGATTAAAAAAAAAAAGTCAAAATGGGAGGAAAAAAATGTGTGGCTAGGGGGTGTTGGTGCATAGAATGAAGGACCAATAAAAAGGAAACAATAAAGTGGACAGAAAACACAGATGGAGGAAAAGAACCCCTGGAGTGAATGGACCAAACAAAACTCTCAAGGAAACAGCAACTCAGACACAGAAAGAGAAACATGGGCAAAAGATGGTATGGAGAACAGGACGGAGGAGAGAATCTCTAAAGAAATGCCAGAGGCACTGTCCCAGGAGGCAGAACTGGTCCTGGGCTCAGCTTTGGGCAGTGGAATCCACAGCACCTGTTATCACTGCCACCAGCTGTCATTACTGCCTACCCAATGAAATCACTCAGTCCCTGATATTTCCCCAGTCTTCCACATTCTGAGAAATTATTTTAGTTTTTAAATTTATTTTCTTAAAGGGGAAGAGGAGTCATCTTAAAATGACATTCTGAGTGTTTCAAGTGTGAATAAAGGGAATGCTCTTTTTTTTTTTTTTTTTTTTTAATTTAGAGATGTCCGTAAATGTACGGTTATACTCCAAGACTCTGAAAATTCCAAACTAGCTTTATTTATGTAGCAAGCCTATTAAGAAAGTATCGTTCCACTGCTGAGTTTTCCTATTTCATTATTCTGGGCCTGTAGGCTTTTATTTCACTTTGTTTTTTTAACCAAATTCTGGTTGAGGTTTAGTGCAAATAATCAATACTACAAAATAAAACAAGCCCTGGGAAATAGGTTGTTTCAACTAACCATAGATGTGTTCTCTCTCACCCTCACTTCTCTTGAATTCGTTTCCTAATTCACCCAACTTGAACTTGAAATACCAAATACCCAATGCTTCAAATTTTCTGGCCGTGGATGTATTGTAATAAAACAGACATCAACTTACTTATGTGCTTTCCTCAAACATATAGCCTCAGAACTTAAAGCACTTACTCCTGCTCAACACCAATGTTTTATCTATGCTACACCACATCATCAAAGAAAAGGAAAACGTCACGTGATCTCTTAGGAACCTTTTATAACTGAAGTCACCACTAGTTAGCTATGAGTTAGACTTCTAAATTAGGTAATCTAATTCATGTAGTCACCAAAGGTTAAATCAAATTGAATCTAATGATTTTAACTCTACTTCCTCTCATCCCTTGAGGACAATTTAATTTCAATATACACAAATTGGAGAAGTGTTTAAAACCACCTACTTTGCTCAAAATGAGAAAATATGACTTCCGTTTGCAGCACTATCATCTGCCAAGGATTTAACTCATTTAATCATATTAGTTTTGCAGGGAATGGAGGTATAGACAGCAGCATATATGTTGGGGGGTGGTTTATAAGTGTATTTATTTATTTTACACACTGTTTATTACACACGTTTAGGCATTGTCAAGTCTCCCCTTTCTTCTACAACTGAAAGAATGAAATCCTGGGGCACCTGAGCGGCTCAGTTGCTTAAGCGTCCAACTCTTGATCTCGGATCAGGTCATGATCTCAGGATTTGTGAGTTCAAGCCCCGCATCAGGCTCTGTGCTGAAAGCAGAGTCTGCTTGGGATCCTCTGCTTGGAATTCTTTCTTTCTTTTCTTTTTCTTTCTTTCTTTCTTTCTTTCTTTCTCTCTTTCTTTCTTTCCTTCTCTCTCTCTCTCTCTCTCCCCCTCCTTCCCTCCCCCCCTCCCCTGCTCACTCTAATAAACATTAAAAAAAAAATTTAAAAAGAAGGAAATCCTAATCTCTACACTCAAAAATGTCACCTTGATCTATTTCCAACAAGTACATCTTTCTTAAGACCTGTTTTAATATTTCCAGTTAAAATTTTAGGGTCTTATCATGTTTAAACACAATACGCATAAATGTCATCTCTTGCTATCTGTCCCACAGATTTGATGAATTTAAGTCTAGAACTACTACATGTGGACATGTCAGAGGTACAGCATTAATTTATCTAGATTAGCCTTTATCAAAGTTATTAAAAATGTAACCTATTCCATGCAAATCATGTGAAGCATTTACCATACATACAATCTCATACCTTGGGAAATACATGAAATTAGATGTCACAGGCCATGACCACAATCTTTTTTAAGTTAAAAATGAAATTCTGGAATACTAGTTATATTAAAAAAAAAAAAAAAAAAAAAGACACTATATAAAACTACCAGCCAAGTGAATCAAATATTCTCACACATCAAAGAAGAACAGAGTTATCAGGCTGGGCCACATTACAGAGCCGAAAAGGAATGGCAATCACTTGCAGTGGACAAAAGGACTACAAGACAGAACTTCTTACACACACCAAGGCAAGGAGACAGCATCCATGTATCCTAAAATAAATAGCTTTGGGTGTTTAGCAAACTGTACTGTGACAGTACTAATGCTTCACGACCTTCCATAGCTTATTAATTTGAACTTTTAGAAGCATAAACTAAGTTTGACATATGGACAGAAACAGAATGAGAATAGAGATAAAGGGGGAATTCAGTAGTAAAAACCAACATCCATGTGTTCATTTACCTTCTTATTTAGCCAGTGCCAGAGCTTGAGGACAGGGGGTAAGGTAAGAAAGAAAAGATAAGAACAGTGGAATATCATTAGAGAATGCAATAATAGTATGAAAAGAAAAGAAAGTCACCGAGAATATGAGGAGGAAATAATCCCAGACCAAAAACAAACAAAAAAAAGAAAACAAAAAACTAGAAAAATAACTGTAATGCATTAACAAAGCTTTAAAATCAAGTGAATAAAATATTCCTTTAAGATATACAATGACAGAAATAAACACAAGCTTTGTTGGCAATTCAACATTAAAAATACATAAAATAACCTGAATGCTTGTCAGCTTAAACAGTCACACCAAATTCCAAAGATCACAGGAATGATTAAGATTCTTTCACATATCATGCACCAAAAGGATTTTTAGTCTCTGTATAAATTAATTCACGTTCATATACTATGTGTTCACTGAACTTTTAGCTTTATAGTATTAATTATTTCATCTTTTTTAAACAGTAAAACATTCCAGGGCTCATCTGGAACAGTGAACACCTGGCCATCTAAGATTCTGTTAATATTGGGTATATTTCCTTCCATCTCAATTACTTAAGCACATATCTTTCTACTTTCTGTAACATCCTTTCTTTCACCTAACAGTCACCTCATCTAAACCTCACAATATTTAGCACTATAATAACTAATGCTAGTTGGTGAACACAGGATCTAAAAATCACTAAACACAGGATTTACAGCATTATTAGTGATCCAGAAAGTACAAAGGCTAAAAACCATAATTTCATCAGAGTAAATGTAAATGCTGTTTGCAGAGTTTTGACTAAAAGTACACTCGATGCATGTTTAAAAATATACTTCAAACAATCTCCTATAGAGGAATATTTTTAAAAACACTGTACGGTCAATTAAAATTTAACAGAAATATGAAAGAGATTTATTCCCCAAAGCAGCAGCCCATGTATATTATTATACTAAATAAAACATAAGTATGGTATCAGTTATAATTAAACAAATATTCAGTTTTGATAGCCATTTGGTAGGTTTTATTATACAAAATCACAAATCCTACTTTGATTCATTTTACTGTCTCCCTTCCTTTGTAACATGAACAAACTGACATACAAATTTGAATAAAAAATGACAAGTTTTTACAAGGCTGCTCCATAGAAAGTACTTTTGACGCCCCTGGAACTTCAGCTGACACAATTGTAGAGTTTTCTTGAGTAAAGGGTTCCAAATACAAGTACCTGGGGTTCTGAAAACAAGATTTAGTGTCTATCCCTTCTGACAGTGCTAAGGCTTTCAAAAATTAACTGAAGTAGGAGTCATCCTCTTTAAACAGTTTGAAGGACTGTATCTGTGCTAGTAAGACAAAGCTTCACCCCGATACCAGGAAGATGTGATCAATATGTTAAAATCTGTGAGAAGCCTTTGAGTCTTTCTTATTTAAAAAGTTGAAAAAAGAAACAAATAGGCAAATCACAAAAGTAAAATATTAATAGCCAATAAGCAACCTCATTTTTATTTTTTAAAATTTCAAATTAAAACACTGAAATCCTTCTTTTTCTGAAATAAAAAGGACTTTTTGTTACATTATAATATCTAGTATCGGCAAGAGCTCAGGAAATGGGCATTCTCATAGGTTACGCTGGTGGGAATTAGAACTGGCAAACTTTCTGGAAGACAGAAAGGCAATACAATACGTAAGGAAACATATCCCCCTGCATCTCTGTTGACCCAGGAGACTTTACTACGGGTTTAAAAGATTTATTTCCTTCCACCTCACATGAACTCCAGTTACTATTCTCATCCCTATCTATGCTGGTTTCACCTAACAGTATTTCTCAACCCGAAGTTATGGATGGACCCGCTCAAAGATTTCCGAGCCTCTGTGAGGAAGTCCAACTCACATAGCAAAGCACGCACGAAGGCCTCAATTCTGTCTCACCCGACTCTCTCCAGCCTCACCTCTTCGCATATTCCAGCCATGACTGTTTCCTTGATGTTCCCTAAGAAGTCATGCTGTGGCCATCTCGACCTGTGCACTGCTCCATCCACCTGTTCTTCTTGCCCTGTCAACCTAATAAACCCCTACTTGCGATTCAAAATCTGCTATGGCATCACCTCTTCTGCAAAACCTCCCTTCTCCCACTACCTCACCAACAGTGAGTCCTTTCTTGATCAGTATGACCACTGTATCCTGTACATGCGTTCCCCGCTCACACACACACACACACACACACACACACACAAATTACAACCACAGCTATCACTTACACAAAGCTTACTGTATACCGGGCGCTGATCTAGGAACTCACTTAACCCTCACAGCCATTCCATGAGGTGCATTCTATTGTATTTATTGTATCGATAAGGAAACCAAGGCACAGAAAGGTTAAGAAACTCATTCAAGGTCACATAGCTAGTGAGTAGAATAACCGAGATCTGAAACCAGTGTGGAATCAAGGTCCATGCTCTCAACCACTGCCTCCGAATTTTAACGGATTGCTGTCTCTCCACTAAACAGGGCTGCTGCACCCAGTTTTCTGTGATTCACTAGATTTTCCTGAGGACTTATTAGCACATTATTTGACCTGTGGGAATTACCCCAGAAATACTCACTGCACTGAGGAGGCATTACCTGGCAATATAATTTTAGGCAAGTCACTTAGTCCCTCTAAATTTCAATTTGGTCCTTATAAAATGAGGGAGTTGAACAAGGTGTTCTAGAACATCCTTTTCTCCCACTTTTTAGAGGGAAAACTACTTACATAATACTTAAACTAAATCTATCCTATACTCACATAAGGCGTAATTCTAAACTTTAAATCTCATCACAGATTTAGATGTTAAATGTGTTATCAGCAATCCCAGTATGAACACCAAATACCAGGAAATGGAATATGTGTATTATAAACTCCATCAAAACAGCCCAAGGTCTTAAAATACAATACCTTGCTATCAACTTTTAACAAGAATTTTCCAAGCCCAATAACCGGCCATGGTGCGAGAGCCTCCTGCCGCTCCTTGAGGAAGTGCTCAGCCACCTGCCACCACACGCGGCAGCGTTTCGCCAGGAAGTCCACGACTCCAAAGTGAATGACAAGCTTTTTGAGGATCCAGACTATAACGAAGAAAAGCATACAAAGCCAAAATCAGAACGAGAAAGGTCCTTTCTCATACAAAGAACATACAAAGTCAGAACATGAGAAGGTCCTTTAATTTCACGTGACCTTTCAAAAAACAGTGAAGCTAATATGAAATAAAGACCAATTAAGGGGGAAAAAAGGCAAGGGGGAAGAGATAAAAGTTCATGGTATTCCAAACAGACAGAATTAGAGACGATAACTTTTCATACAAGCCCCATCTGCCCATACATTACCTTCGTAGTGAAATCTGAATCCTTGAAGGAGCCATGGATTCTTTCATAGTCCGTATAAACATAAAACACTGATCATGAAGATTTAGGGGACTACAATCTTGGCCCCTCGCCCCTCACCCTTCTTGGGTAAAGAATACTAACCCCTGACATGTCCTAATTTCCTTAGCTATTATCACTGCTCTTGCCAAATGTGATTCTTTTCCTTGGATGTTTAATGTTTAGTGACCCGAAGGGTAGAAGGTATTCCATTCGCATCATGATTTTACACCAGTGCGCTGTACTCTGATTTCTCTACCTGATGCTGCTCTGTACATCTGCATCTCTTAGCAGAGTGGGCTTAAGCAGGGCTGTTACAAGTGGCCCCCAGGCTGTGCACTGCACAACTTCTGCACAGACCACTCACAGAGCACAGTATGAAGGTACCCCTCCACTCTGGGCAGCAAGGGGGCCCTGCAAGCAGACGTTAAGCTTCCTGTTAAAAGCCAACTAAGAAAGTGGTGGGGCCAGAAGGAAGAGCTACTCATCTATGGGGGGCAGGGGCCTTGAAGTCTGGACTCCGGATAATTGATCTCAACTACTATAATTTCCCTAACTCCAGAGATTTCTGTGTCCTTAGCCCTGGCCTTGCAATCTAATGATTCACAGTTTACTCTTTTGAACCATGAGCTCAGTGTTGCATACCAGTTCAACAACTTCATCATTAACATTTTTAAATCTCTAAAGAAGTCCTAGGAAAGCTCCTAGGGCTCTAGAATAAGCCCAGAGTAATTATAGGCTGTGGAAAATGTTCTGGGGGCCACCTGCTTACAGCCTACTCTCTCAAGGACATGTCAAATTCCTATAATGGCCTGAAGGTTAAGAAATGACTGGGACAAATGGAACTCCTACTAACAAATTTTAAAGAAAAGGGGTTCCAACAGCACCTGATACCATTTGGCAGCATAAAATAAATCATCTGGCAAAACCAAAAAAGTATGGAGCAATCCAGAAGAGCAATTTAAACGATTTCACTAAGCTTTTCTATGAATTCCTTAATAGAAACCATGGCTATAGTACATACCCTGTGGCTTGCTTAATGACAACTGTGTCTTACTCCAACTGCCAAACAGAAGTTCTGTTTGAGGATGCAAGAAGCAGAAACAAACTTCAACCTCTTATATTCTATGTTCCCTAAGGAAAGGCACTAAATAGTGTTCTGGTCATAACAAATCTTTAATAAAAGGGGTGGGGGGGGGCAGTGCCTGGGTGGCTCAGTCAGTTAAGCATCTGACTCTAGGTTTTGGCTCAGGTCATGATCTCACACTTCGTGGGTTCAAGCCCCGCATCAGGCTCCCCATTGATAGCACACAGTCTGCTTGGGATTCTCTCTCTCCCTTTCTCTCTGCCCCTCCCCTGCTTGCAACTCTCTCTCAAGATAAATAAATAAACTTAAAAAAAAATAAAAATAAAATAAAAAATAAAATTTTAAAAACTGTCCAAGTTAATGAGAATAATAAGTTTTAAAAGTAATGATTAAAAGTAATGATCTAGAAGGCAAATGGTCCAATGAGTTTAGATTTTTAAACTGCGGTGGAAAACAGGCTTCCAAAAATCAAATTTTGTTTAAATCAATAGTGAAAAACTTTGATAAAGGATAAAGAACTAATCAAATGTAGGAGGTATCTGGATGTCAGGTTCCTAAGCATCAATTCGGGACTTAATAAACTTGGCCAAGCTTCTGACTGTGATAAGAGGTAAGCCCAAACAATCAAGAAGGTACGAAATAAACAAACTCTTCAATAATGCACCTGAGTCACTTACTTTTCCAGTCTTAGAAGATGCCTTTAAATATACAATTGTTTTAGTTTTAAAAGAGGGTAGCATTATCTCAAACACTAAAATCCAAAAGTTAGGGGCGCCTGGATGGCTCAGTCGGTTGAGCGTCCGACTTCACCTCAGGTCATGATCTCACGGTCGGTGAGTTCCAGCCCCACATTGGGCTCGCTGCTGTCAGCACAGAGCCTGCTTGGGAGCCTCCGTCCCCTTCTCTCTGCCCCTCCCCCACTCACTCACTCTCTCAAAAATAAATAAACGTTTACAAAAATAAAAATAAGATAAATAAATGAAATAAAATCCCAAAGTTAAAGAAAAAACGTCTTCGGAGACAAGACCCTAAGTGAGCAACTACCTGCAACAGGCACCGGCAGCAACTGTACAATCCACAGGTTCAACCAGAGCTGGACACCAACGATGGCCCACACGAGCGACACGAAGTAGATGTCACTGGTTTTCTTCTTCCTGAGAAATGTTCCCATTTCAGCCCTCTGTCTACCCAGAGTAGGGGAGGGGGAAGAAGGTGAAGGAGATGAGGACAGTGGTGCGGGCGGTTCTCCTGTGTCCATGGTTTCTGAGGAGGAGGAAGAAAGTTACCACCATATTAGTCCACATTAGTTGACAGTCCCACGGAGCAACTTGCTGCGCTACTCTGTTTCAAGCCTGCAAATGGACTCTGATAGTATGATCACACTGGGTTAAAGAAGAAAAAGAATCTGGACGTGCCTGCATGTGCACTGAAAAGTGTGTGCAGAGTTACACTACTGACCGTATTTAAATCTAGGGAAATTAAGTTTGTTAGGGGGTGGGGCCGGGGATGGGGAATTTTTTACTCTTTATACACCTCACGCTGTTCAAGGTTTAATGTCATCTATTTCATGTATTCATCTATGAATCATTTAAATGCAAAACTAAGGAATAACATGACAAAATAGCTAAGAATTAATTAGCCCATGGAAACTACTTCAACTGTATAAAGCAACAAATATTAACATACCGAAGTCCTACATTTAAAAACTTGTCTTTTAACATAATTTTATTAGATCTATAATATTTCTGATGCAACATGGCTTTTCAGTGTCATTCGACTAAAATGGAGCCAACTGCTCTTACAAGAAGAACCCAGGGCTTTGAAACATGTCTTTCTCTCAGAATGAGAAATAAAACAGTGACAGATTGCTGGGGGTGAGGATTCAAGTAATGGTGATCACACTGAATTATTTCACATAAGGCACTGTTTTCTAACAAAGCAACTACTAAGTTACATTTTACTATAGGGTTATATTTTTCTATTTCCTAGTTTTACCAAAATATACCACATGCCTCAGAAATCATAGAACTCTTAAAGCAATATTACTCAGTATATGCCATGATGATGGAAACTATAAAGACCCTACAACTTGCATTTTGCCTTCCATAAAAAAAAGTTAATGACAAAAGTAGACTGTTTGGAGCACCTAGATGGCTCAGTTGGTTAAGCACTGGACTCCTGATTTGGTCATGATCATGAGATCATGAGTTTGAGCCCCACATTGGGCTCTACGCTGATGGCACAGAGCCTACTTAGGATTCCCTCTCCCCCTCTCTCTCGGTGTCCCTCCCCTGCATGCTCATGTGCACTCTCTTAAAATAATAAATATTAAAAAAGTAGATATTTCATAAAGTCTAGAAAATAGAGGAAAGAAACAAGAACACTCATAACCCCAACCCCCTATTTGTCCCAGTCTTTACATAGTTGTATGTAGTTATACCACATTCCACTTACCCTTTCACACTTTCTTCCTTCAGTTGAATGTCACTTCTAGGAGAGCTAAGACCTTGTCTGTCTTGTTCTCCCTCTGCTGAACAGCACATAGGATAGTACCTGATGCTCACTAAATAGTGGACACTCGCTAAATAATACTCAAAGACAGCCTTCCCTGTGATTTCATAAAGTTCATAAGAAACTACATAGTAGCACTCTGATGGTTATATCATAATCTCCTTAGTGTTTATAATGTTCAGTGTTTATCTGTGAGTAAACTGTTACTACTGATATAGTAGCATCGTGGTAAGTCAGCCCATCTTATCAGAGGTAACATTCTATCCTGAGGTTTGGGGCTAAAGCCCAAGCTAGTTATAATACGCTTCTGTTTGACTTTGCTCTTTGAGAATCTTTCTAATTTGGAAACTTCATGCTGGTAAGTGTGGTAGATACTCAGAAGAATAATAAGTCCCTAACCAAAACATTATCCCCTCTTCATTTTGAAAACATAACTCAATGTGCAATAAATATATGTTTTCCTGCTACCCCAAATGCTTTTTTCTTAGCTGATCTCTCCTTTTAAGACTTTTCTAAAGTCCGTTCTTCAGGAAGAGCTCACCAAAAATATTCCTTAACTCCAAAGCCCCTGGCACTAATAAACTTCTTGGCACAGAGATGGCCTTTTACGTTTCTGAACTCTGTGGGAGTACAGTATGACTTTAAAGCTGATATAAATCTACCAGCTGATCTTGCAGGAGCATGGTATCCAGAATAAGCAGACAGGTTGGTTTCAGGGGAAACAGTCAATGTATTAACAGCACAAGACACGCAAAGCAAACTTTGAGAAGCAAGAAATGCCAGAGAAATGGGAGAACTGTAAGACAGAAAATAAAAACCAAAAGAAAAAGTTGGATCAACAACAAAAGCAATGTAAAGAGTTAGAACAAAACCTGAACAATGGAGAACGGATGGCTACAGAAGAAATGGAAAATAAGGACAGGATTAAGTGCAGAAAATAATGGAAAACGTAGAAGAGGCACAGAGAAAAAGGAAATGATATGAAGGGAAAGTGAGAAGGAATAACAAAAGAAAAATTAAAAGAAAAGCATTTTTCTTAAAAAAAGGGAAAAGATGAAGATTCAAGAAAAGAAACAAAAAGGTAAATAATTAAAAGCATGAAAAAAGTGATACGTGAGAACACAGATGAGAGGAGGAAAAAGTATAAAAATAGAAATCAGAGGAAAATGAAGGACTAGTAAATAGCATTCTGTGATGCTCATGTCCTTAAGTTTATACTTTATGTGTATATGTCAATTTCCAGAATTGTACTTGAAAACATCCCTTCAGTCACCTGCAGGCTGGTCGGAGGGCTGGTCATCGGCACTTGATTCATACCCGGTGATGGAGATGGCCAAGGTTGCCAGAGTAGAAGCTGCCATGGAGATAACCTGCCCTGGTAACTCCGCTCCTGTAAAACAAGCACGTGTTTGCAAAACTTTCTAAAACCAAGTGGGAAATAACTGCTACAAACTGAAACATAGTACTAAATTTTCAAAAGCAATACAACAAAATGGTTATTACTGACCCACTGGACAAGGGGTTCTTCACCAAGGGAGAATGCTTTAGAATCAACAGGAAAGTCTGCTAAACATTTGGTTCCTGGACTCTGCTTATCAGTCACTGGTGCATGCAGCTGAGAGTGGATATAAAACGTGGAGTCCCGCTCTCTTACTTTTTAACTTCACAATCTGAATGCACATTGAAAAACACTGCCACACCAAGTCTGTGAGCTTCCTGAATGCAGACTGTGACTGTCTTACTCTCTTTTGTATCACTAGCTCCTAATACGGTATGAAACAGCCAACACTCAGTGCTCTTGATAATTGCATTCCATGAATGCATAGGCAAACGCCTGGGTACTATGCAAAATCATATAGCTCTATAAAGTACATAATTCAATACAGGCAAAATCCACCACTGAAAATCTAAAATAATCTTATTACTCTGTTTCATTTTATATGTTCCCATGTTAAATTCCTAATACATAGTACACCAAGCTTAATCATTTGCACTAAAGTCAAATAAAACATTTACTGGCCAATGAGGTATGTCTGTCAACTGTCAGTCTTTAATCTACTATGGCAAACAACAGATGAGCTCATACAATACCAGGTTCTAGCATGTTCTCCTCCTCCTAGAGACTAGAAAGCTTAAAGATTGTATTTCTTAGACTCCCTTGCAGCTAAGGTCCCACGTGGAATGCAGTTTCCACCAATAAGGCACACCTATCAAGACCCAGAAGACCAAAGTGAGACTCCCTGGAATTTGGACGCTCTCAAGTCAAACAGTCATGCAGGCATATGGTTTTTCTGCCAAAACTTAGCAGAAGTTCTAAAAGCAATGCTACCTGATCTTAACTTTGCGGCAGGTAGCAGCAGCCATGGGACTTCTACTCAAATAGCCCTTTGGTGTCACTGAGCACTTCTCCTGTTTGCAACGCTTCTGCCTGTGACACATCTAAGTTTGTTTAACTGTCTGGTCTTCCCCGAAATTCTATATGTAAAAATTCTATGCGCTAATCAACACCTCTTTCCATTTAGACTAGCTAGGGCAGATTCTGTTGTCTACAACTAAGAATACTAACACTCACCAAATCATACACCCACACTCACGGAGATGGGACCTTACTTTGGGTAGGTCAATACACGGTGTGACAGCACAGAATTCTGCCAAGCCAGTGAAAACAGCCATGGCCATTCAGAAAACTCCAAATGAGCTCCACCTACTTAGCAAATCCCAGGCTGGCCATCTTCCAGAGACAAGTAGGCCAGGCCCCAAGATGGCTCTTTGGTGGACTGAACCATGAGGATCAAGAGCATTTGTCTTACTCAACCATACCCTATCCTTCCTCTAATAAATGCCTCTGTGATCTGACAAGAGGTTTATCTTCAGACGATCCAAAGCAAGTCAAACTCCTGATCTAGGAAGAGAACAAGATATCTGGATTGGGACTTATTCCCCTGGCCTAAGGATCTAAATTGTTTCTTAGATACCAAGAAGGGAACAAAGAGGAAAAGACAGCATCTTTCATGTCTTACACATTCTCACTATTCACTGAATTGGATGCTGAGGATAAAGACACAGACCCTGCCCCTGTGGAGTCTGGTGGAAGAGACACATAGGGATTGAAGATCCACATGGAAAAAAAAAATTCTTACCACAGTTGGGGATAATTTGTTAATTCACCTTAAAAAAAAAAAAGCACACAAATGTGAATGTACACAAACTATAATGACTGCTGTAAAGGAAACACACTAGCTATTTTATGAACTCCTAGTGGAAGAAATCTTAGTCTGGAGAATCAGGAACATCTTCTCTTTAAGAAATAAAAATAATGATATACAAAGGATGAGAAGGAATTGATCAAAGGAATGTAAATAATATTTGGGGCAGAACAAGTGAGTAGGAAGGCCACTGAGTGAAGACACTGGCATGTTAAAGACAGTGTGTCTGGAACACAGACAGCTAGTGAAGTGGTATTGAGTAAACAAGGCTGGACGTGTTGAGCCAGATGATCCAAGTCATAGAAGACCATAGTAAGTACTTTAGTCTTTATTCTAAAAGGTGTAGGAAAGTGCTGAGGAGTTTTAAACAGGAAATGATCATGTTTTTACTGAAATTTAATTGAGATACTTACAGCTTTACATGCAGTTATAAGAAATAATAGAGAGAGACCCTCTGTACCCTTTATCCAGTTTCCCCCAATGGTAACATCTTGCAAAACTGTAGTACAATATCACAGTAAAGATATCGGCATGGATACAAGATACAGAACAGTGTCATCAATGCAAGAATCTCTCATGTTGCCCTTTCATAACCATACCCACCTTCCCAGTCCATAAATAAATGATCAGCTTTGAAATATGAAAAGAATCATTTTTGCTGTTTGGTCAAGAGCAGATTGGGAGGGAGCAAGAGCGGGTACAGGGAGAGAAGTTACTGCAACACTGCAGGCAAGACATGATGACAGCATGCTCTGCAGCAGTTTAAAGGGGAGATGTTGGAAAAGTGGCTGCATTTAAGACATGGAGTGGTCAAAGTGGACCAGACTTGATGATGAACCCATAAAGGTAATGAAGGAGATGACATGTCAAAGATAATAACCCCCAAGTTTCCAGATTATGGTTAGATAGATAACCATAGGGAAATACCATGTCAACAACCAGGGAGGTGAAATGGAGGAAAATTTTGGACATTTTAGGTATATTTTTTAGAATTCTAGATAGAAGTTTCAAAAATAAACTGATTACACCAGAGACAAGTCAGGATTTAGCTTCTTGTGCAGCTAGGAGAGATTTCTCAGGCTCCACTCAAGAGCAAAGGAAGGGAATACATGATTAATAGCCTGGGACAGCAGAGTAGAGAAAGAAAAGAAAAATGCTTCCAGTAAAATTTTAAAAAGCAAAGTTTTGGGGTGCCTGGGTGGCTTGGTCGGTTAAGCGTCCGACTTCGGCTCAGGTCATGATCTCACGGTCCGTGAGTTCGAGCCCCGCGTCGGGCTCTGTGCTGACCGCTCAGAGCCTGGAGCCTGTTTCAGATTCTGTGTCTCCCTCTCTCTCTGCTCCTCCCCTGTTCATGCTCTGTCTCTGTCTCAAAAATAAATAAACGTTAAAAAAAAAAATTAAAGAAAAAAAAAGCGAAGTTTTCTTTCTTATATAAGATTAAAGACTACTCTGGAAAACAGTATGGAGGTTCCTCAAACAATTAAAAACAGAACAACCCTATGACCCAGCAATTGCACTACGAGGTATTTATCCAAGGGATACAGGTATGCTGTTTCAAAGAGGCACACGCACCCCAGTGTTTATAGCAGCACTATCAACAATAGCCAAAGTATGGAAAGAGCCCAAAGGTCCATCAATGGATGAATGGATAAAGATGTGGTACATATATACAATGGAGTATTACTCGGCAATCAAAAAGAATGAAATCTTGCCATTTGCAACTACGCGGATGGAACTAGAGGGTATTATGCTAAGTGAAATTAGTCAAAGAAAGACAAATATCATATGACTTCACTCATATGAGGACTTTAAGACACAGATGAACATAAGGGAAGGGAAGCAAAAGTAATATAAAAACAAGGAGGGGGACAAAACATAAGAGACTAAACATAGAGAACAGAGGGTTACTGGAGGGATTGTGGGAGGGGGGATGGGCTAAATGGGTAAGGGGTTTACTGTTGAAAAAAAAAAAAAAAGACTAGTCAAGGGTCCTAAATTACTAAACCTACCTCTTCACAAATTATTTAATGAAGTAGTGAGTCATCTTTGAGAGAGCCTGAAAAATAAGTCCTTTGTTTTAAGTAGCTCCAAAGTAACAATTTTAGAGATCCTCCAAAGTAACAATTTTAGAGATCCTCAAATATGGATTCTCAGTTTGGCTGTAGTTTGACTTACATTTCTAAACCCCCGCTAAGTCCTCATTCACTAAACAGGTGACTAGGCTACATGCTAAGAGACTGAGACCCAAGCCCCAACCTCAGTCTAATATTTAGTCTACCAGTTATGATTCAGTATAAAAGCTAATGTAAAGACAAGTGTAGCATATTTGGGGAGCAAAGAAGATGGCAACCTAATCCATGCTTGGGAGGTCAGAGAAGGATCTCCAAAGATGCTACTTAACAGGAATGGTAAAAGATGCCACCCTTTAAATCCATTTAAATATGTTAGCCACTGGGTGGTTCAGATGGTTAAGTGTCTGACTCTTAATTTCAGCTCAGGTCATAATCTTACAGTTCATGGGTTCAAGCCCCACATCAGGCTCTGCACTGACAGTGAGGAGCCTGCTTGAGATTCTCTCTCTCTCCCTCCCTCTCTGCCCCGCTCGTGCTCTCTGTCACACGCATGTGCTCTCTCTCTCTCTCTCTCTCAAAAATAAACAAACATTAAAAAAAAATATGTTAGCCATATTAAAACAAAACAAAACAGAACCAGTCTATCTTGGAGGGGAAAAAGAGGTTTATGTCTTAGAGGGCAGCAGGAGAAAAATTTTTCAGAAAGACAAAAAAGTGTAAAAGCACAAAGGCAAGAAAAAAACACCATGTGCTGTTCAAAGAACTCTTAGGAAGTCTGATAAGGCCAGGACATAAGGTACAATGAGAAGAGCGGAGAGATACCAGGATGCAGAGGGAGAACGGAGGGTCTCATGTTTGCTCTGCACAGAGGCAGCACGATCAGTACAACTCAGTGTTTGGGAGCACAGGTGAGGAAACAAGACTGCTCACATTCAAATCCCAGATCTACTCCTTACTAGCTAGATGACCACTGGCAAGTTACTTAAAATCCAGGTGCCTCAGTCTCCTCATGTATGAAATGGGGCTTCTCTAGATTCTGATTTCATATGAGAATTAAGTGAAACAGTACATATGAAATATTCAGAACAATACCTGGTATGCAAGACTCACTC